TAGAAAAAAAAAATTCTGCTAAAGTCAGAAGTATGTAACACAGAAATTAGTTTTTCTGAGTGTCACTGTTAAGTCCCTTCAGCAGTGACGCAACATTGTCCAACAGCTGTCTGTGTTGCTTGCATTGATAAAAAAAATCTCCACTTGGGTGCTGTAAATGGAGAAGGTGACTTGCTCTGGGAGATTTATCACAGCTGATCAAGAAGGCCTTGGTCTCCTCTTGGGTGTTGCTCCTTTACTGTTGTACTTGGTAGGCCTTTTGGGTCATGTGCTGCATAAAGCAAAGACATTTCTGAATTATTCCGGGGTATTGACACTGTATAACACTTAAAGTAGTTAAGACAGGCTGGTTGAATTCACTTACTTTGCGCTGAATCAAAGGGAATGTTGTGTTGAGTGAGGAGAGAGCGCAATCTTTTAACCTCTTCTCGCTGTTTTTCGAGATCCTGTATGAAACATTAAGGAAATATAGATTTTCTGTCACATTTAAAACAGTATTGTTATAATCATCTATCTATTTAGCAAGAAAACAAATGTACTCACCTCTGTACATTTCTGTAAGGAGTTGTGTGTTCCTGAATCAGCTACAACTTCTGGTAGCTTTATCTTCACCTTTTGGCTCTTCAGGAGACCGGCATCCTCAAAAATATCCTTTAAAAGGTTGTTGTATCCCTGCATCAAACAGACATTGTGTGTCAGTTTCAAGAAAATATGACAACAACTTGATTCGAATGGTAACAAAATATTTATTTATGTGTTAGAATCACTTTGGGAACCCTTAATGTCCTTCTTAAGCTTGCAAGTGATCAGCCTAACAGTGTTGTACCTGCTCAGTAATGAGTCCTTCATATCGAGCCTGCTCAGCCTCATCCCATTCTTTTTGGAGCGTTTCACTCAGGGTTGGGTACACTTAAAAAAAGAGCATAAATATGATAATATATCTATCAATTACACTGACTTGCGGCGTCAGATATTTATTTTGTCTTACCTAAAAGCGAATGTGGATGGCAAACAAGTGGGGTCTCAAATGTGAGCGAGTACACACAGGTAGTGGGCTCTGAGACTTGAGAGAGCTTGCTGCTTGCACTGCAGACAAAAATCACCTACAAAAACATGAAGAGAAACTATTTACAAGACACATTTTATGTATTTATTGTGGATTAATTGTTACAATGAATTTGAGTTCATATATAAATGAAAGATTTGGCCGATTAGGAAGGAGTGTAAAAACAAAACGTGTTCATATTGTGGGTAAAGTAGTCTTTTAACAAATGTATTTATTCGGTTATTACGTTTTATTATTTCCTAAAGGTTTACTTAATTGGTGTTATATTTAAGAAGAAACACAGACAAAGGAGAAGTCAGTGGGAGCTCCTTATTCTGTTAAATGTCAACCAGAAAGAGTTTAAACAATTTTAGCCCCACTAACCTTTGTTTCCCTGTTTCTCGTTCCACAGGCATCCCCATCTCTCATCCACATGCCTGTGAAAGAGTTGTTTACCATTTCCCACTCCTGCCAGATCCTGTAACGCATATGCAAAAGTCATGAGTAATTCAAATATTGATATTCCCTATAAAAGGTAAACGGGTGTGTAAGGGAAGCGTATCTTACCCGAGTATCCCGCTGTAAGCATTCCATCTAAATGACTGCTCATGTTGGGTGATGTTGTGAAATGGACAGAATTCATATTTATAGCTGCAAAATAACCAAACACACAAATACAGTGTTATTGTTTTGTATTTGAAGCTGGGTCCTTGTACAGAACCAGCAGAAAGGCAGTTTATTTTGGATGTAAATTACTTACGTTGACTCTGTATAAATGAAGCACTTTCCAGCGAGCTGATGAAAATGTGCAGGGCCTTAAGGAAGATATGTATAAGAATATGGTAAATAAATTCAGTCTGATAGAGTAGATCGACAGAAAACATCTTGATTAGATGTCAACATCTAATATTTGATCCTTTACTTTACAACATGTAATCACACACAGGATTAAATCAAATGTAGGCTTCAAATAATGTCAAATGATTATACCAGACACTGGACATGGGGTCACTTTAGGCTGTAGTCTGCTTCCCTGAGACAGAAAAGGATTGTTCAACCTAAAGAGAAACACAACAAATATCTGTTATAAAGGGGCTAAATTAAACAAGGTGCACAATGGGATAGATGTGTTTTTAATTGACTTACCCAAAAGTGTTTGGCTCCTCCACTATCTTCATTTTACCGGCCAATCCATGGTTAACTGTGTAGAAAAACAGGTCGACATCAGACACACCATCCCACCAGCAATACAGCGCATGTGGTTAGGTATTACTAAAATAAAACAACTTGGATTCAGCGGATCGATAAAATACTTACTGAAAAGAGACGCACAGACCACCAAAATCCGTAATAAAGCATGTATTCCGTTACACAAACAGTGCATGGTTGTTATTTTACTGACTAAGATGTGCTATCGTGTTGCTTTCTACATTTCCTACTTAGGTGTTCGCTGGTCAGATGACAGACCACGTGATCAAAACAAGCTTTGCGCATGCGCGGTGGACTGTAATACGACATGCTTTGTATGAGTAGCTGTAGCTAACTAAACTTTATTTTAAATGGTGTAAAAATAAGTTCAGGTTTATACCAGTTGTATTTCAAATATTTGCTTTAACGTGTGAATGGTTTACACGCAGTTAAAATACAAAACGTTTACTTTTTGCTACATAAATGAGACAACCTGGTGCCAGTGGAATAGCTAGGTAGCTAGTTAGCTAATGTCAGAGTAAACAGATTCAGGTTAGTTAAATGGAGGCTGTTATCTGACAGTAATTTACTAATTTAGCTGTCCACTAGTTGCAACATGGGGAAAAAGAAACAGGGCAAGCCTGTGCGCACATCTGAAAACAGAGGCAAAGAAAAAAGGCATAAAATGAAAGGAAAAACCTTGGAGACCTTTACAGAAGAAATGCACACTGCTTTTGACGGTAATTATTGAACTAGTCATATTACAAAATTATGTTTTAACTGTATATTGCTTGCCTCATCTTGTACATGTGTGCTACAATACTAAGATGTCCCAATGTACAATGGTTATCCAGTTTGAAAAGTTAATATTAAAGACAAAATGTAAAATAGGAAAACACCCCTTTTTAAACGTTTGCCATTATAATATCTAGTAAGTAATTAGTAATACACTGGTTGTCCATCACTGTCATTGAGGAATAATGTGAAAACAATAAAAACCCTTAAGTGTAAGTATCTTGTAGTTAGGTAAGAGTGATCACACTGCAACATAATGACACTTTATCCTCTGTCACTGTGTTTTTCAGCAAGTCATCACGTAGAGAAGGGAGCAGAGGCCCCTCAGGTTAAACTGCCTTGTCCACTTGCCATGTGGGATTTGGGTCACTGTGATCCCAAGCGCTGTACCGGAAGAAAGTTGGTACGCAAGGGCTTCGTACGAAACCTGCGCCTCAACCAGAGATTCAATGGACTCATACTGAGTCCAATGGGCACAAAGTATGTGACCCCAGCAGACAGGTGTGCATTTAAAAAAATCATTATAACACATCATGATGATTCATAAGAAAAGCCATAAGTTGCTACATATAACAGTTAGTCTAATCATAATAATATTGTTATGTATTTTAGCCTGTTTACATGTTAAGGTCCAGGTTGTAAATGTAAACCGTTTACACTTTTTGTGTTATTTAATAGCATAGTGAAACAATTATTAATAAATTGTTTAAGTTATATTAATAACCATTATACCATTATTTGTGTTTCATTAATTTTCTTTATTATGATCCATTGATAATACAATTGTTAGTGATTTAACCTTTGTTATGGACCTTTATGCACAGGGAGATTGTGGCTCGAAGTGGGCTAGCAGTGATTGATTGTTCCTGGGCTAAACTGGATGAGACTCCCTTCAATAAAATGGTCGGAACATATCCCAGGTTACTGCCATACCTCGTAGCTGCAAACCCCGTCAACTACGGCAAGCCTTGCAAGTTGTCCTGTGTTGAGGCTTTCGCTGCAACGTTCTGTATTGTTGGTAAGGCCAAAGCTTTAGTTTTTTTGTACTGTATTGTTTTTCTGACTACTAATATACTGTTAAAAGTTACGGCTGTAAAACTCTAACAAACTTTATCTGATGTTACAGGTTTTGAAGAACTAGCAATGCTTTTGTTGGAAAAATTCAAGTGGGGGACAGGGTTCCTGGATCTGAATAAAGTTCTGCTGGAGCGCTATGCTGCATGCCAGTCAGAGGAAGAGCTGCTGTCTGTGGAAAAAGACTTTCTCACCGCTAAACCAGAGGAGGATGACTTTGGTAAAATGGGGTCCCATCCAGTGTTTCCCTAAAAATGTGTGTAGCAGAGTTGGTTTGGGTCATTTTGGTTTTAGTCCCACATCTGTCCTTATTTTAGTCTTGGTTTGGCTTAAGCTTTACAATACATCATATCCATTACATTTTATTTGGGTGAAATCTCTCCTTCAAATTAAAGAATAAAGAGCAACTGCATCTGAGGAACTAAACTCATTTATATTAATGTTATTCTATTTTATTACTGTATTTTTGCTATTCTATGGTGACGCACTACTGCTGAATTACCATTTGGAAACATTGGTCTCATGCATACAGTTGGGATGTGAAAATCATAAAACATATTTGTTATATTTGATAAAACAAATAATTCCAAAAATAAAGAACATTTTATGTTATGATATCTGACCTATATTTCTAGACTGCTTTCCCCAAATGTTTGAACACTGTAGAATTGTTTCCTAAACTCATCAATAATTAGACACACTTGCTTTGATTGTGATTCAGTGATTCAGAAGTCTGAAACCAGGATAATTGTTTCCAGCATGTCTAGAAAATTGCCCCGTACACAAAGAAGGATGCATTGTCTTGTTGAACCTATTTTCTTCTAATTGAAAGCTATTCATCTTTTTTGTTCACAGATCCATTTGATGTTAACTCTGGATTAGTATGTGGGAATCTCAACAGACGTGTGTGGTAAGCATTTAAACCAAAAAAGTATTACATCTATCAGAGTGAGGTAATCCCTTAGATACACTGTTTGCTAACTTTGTTGGGATATATATGATGGTAAATCCTTTATCACTACTGATCCAGTTTAATTTGTTTATCATTGGTAAGGTTACTAAGTTCTTTATTTCTGTGTTAGTGCCCCTGAAGATGATGATTCTAGTGAAGATACGGACAGCTCAGAGGAGGAAGAAGAAGAGAATGGAGAAGGTCAAAGCAAGAGTGAGTCAAGAACAGTGTCACATCATGAAGATGAAGAAGAGGATGGAGAAGGAAAAAGCAAGAATGATTCAAGAACAGTGTCACATGAAGATGATGAAGAGGAAGAAACTGAATAAAATTCATGAAAATAAAGCATATTTAATCTATGGATCTTTGTATTCTAATTCTAATACAATGACTGGCATAACTTTTTCAAATCTCATGATGCATAGAATAGATTTTGGCACTAACCAGTTTTATATTCAATAAGAAAATATATGAAATAAATGGTATGTTTGTTTGAATGTAAACACAGGCTAATTAATTTAGTATAAGGTGCATATGGGATACATGTGTTTATCACAGTTTCAGTTGGATACACATGTTTTTGATAAATGCAGACCATTTGCTCAAGTACTACTTAAGTACTACATTTAGTAGAATGTTAAGGTACTTGTACTTTACTTAAGTATATCACTTTGTTACTACTTTGTAATTCTACTGGAATTCAGAGGTCAATTGTGTACTTTTACTCCACTGCATTTATACATTTAGTTACTTGGCATACAGATATTGATTAATAATGTGAAATATAATCAACATTTAAAAAGGACTTAACCTACACCTGGAGTAAAATTTACAAGCTACCCTGCAGCATTAAAACTAGGTGCACCTTCACACATTATTGCATCGATAATTATAATCAAAATGTATATTATTCTGAAATGGGCCAATCTGCATAATGAGAACTTTTACTTTAGCTACTTTAAGTATATATTGAAACTTATTATAGTACTTTCACTTGAATAACATTTTTTGAATGCAGGACTTTTTCTTGTAACAAAGTATTCCTACACTGGTAGTTCTACTTTTACTTGTACAAGATCTAAGTCCTTCTCCCACCTCTGCTAAGGAGTTAAAATGTTCTAAAAATACCTGTAGATAACTCGATACAATACATCATGCAAAGATAGTATGTATGCAATGTTAACTGTTATTTAAAATATCAACTAACTGCGGCTGGATTTCTCTGAGTAAGATGAAGTTCAGTAGGTTGTAAATGTGTTGAGGGGGGCGGACACAGCGGGACTCTCCTCTGCTGTCCTGCGGTAACATTGTTGTGGAACGACGTCACAGCTCGAAAATGAAGGCGCAGAGGCAGCCATTACTGGAGCTTCTCTAATTATTTTATTCCAAATAAATACTCGTGGGAAAACTCCCATGGCAAGAGCTACAAGTCAGCTGGTGAGTGTTGTAACTTTAACACGAATAACAGTTCGAAGCCGGCACTGAAAATGTACAGTGTGGGGGCTGTTTGACAACAAATAGTTACGTGGGGCCTTCATGTGAAGAGCGCTGCTAGTTTAACGTTACGACTCGCTAGCAACGTTAGCATGCTAATGTTGGCTAACAACACCAAAATGTTTCCTACGTTAATCGAGGTTCTCTAACACCTGGCTTGATCCATTATGAAAGGTGTATTCAATTATTTCGCGTTGGTTTAGGGGTTATTAACGCTTGCTGTTAGATGTATAGGATGTGTGACCATAACCCCCTTGGTTCGGTAACGTTATCTGTTGGCTGACGTTAGCTAAACATGTTCGCGCTTTCGAACGATGCTTGCTAACATGCTAACATTAGCTTTACTGCGATCCACCTTTTAGTTTAGGAGACAGTTAGCTTTTTAAGGTTATGGTTTTGTAGTTCGACTGTCAACCCATTAACTTCCACATTTATATACACACGATGGCACTCTAAATTCGACAAAGTAACATAATGTGAAAACGACATAAGGTTTTGAAGTTACTTGTGTTACCTGGCGTGCTAACGTTAGCTAATTGACTGTTAGCGTTAAGTTTATAACTCGCTGTCAGTGATGGCCGGCGTTATTTGACAAGGCAGCAGGAGCTAACTATAGCTAGCAGGCGTTAGTTAGCAGGGAAAGTTCGCACAGGCCTGTTGTTACGTTCAGGGTTAGGTTAACGGTAGCTGACATTTTATATCGACCACTGCATGGTTGACCAATCGTACTGGGTCAGTAGATAGTTATACGACCGGTTGGCAACCATACAGTATAGTCCGGATAAGGCAGCTAAATGGCCACACCTTGGTTTTGAATGAGAAGAAGCTAGGCCAACAGAAGTAACTAAGAGTTGTTAGCTGAACAACACTCAGCACTGACTGTTACAGTAAGTTAAAAATAACCAAGTGCGGTACGAGCACCACACAGTTTGTTGGAAAGCACAACCTGTCGCCAGTGGTGAAAAGTCACCACGTAGATTTACTCAAGTACTGTACTTAACTACAATTTTGAGTTACTTGCACTTTACTTGAGTATTTACATATTATTCTACTTTGTATTTCTACTTGACTACAATTCAGAGGTAGATCGTGTACTTTCACCACACGATATTTATTTAATACCTTTGAATTTAGATACACCTTTAACACTCTAATGCATCAATATTTACCATCAAACATGTGATATATATTATTTATAGGCCAATCTGCATAATGACTACTTTTATTTTGGTATTTGCAGAATATTTTGATGCCAATACTTTTCTACTTTTACTTGATTAACATTTTGGTTACAGGACTCTTACTTGTAACCGAGTATTCCTACACTGTGTAAGATCTGGTACTTAAGTAAAAGTAGAACTGAGTACTTGTTCCACCTCTGCCTGTCGCTGTATGTTATCTTTGAGTCTTCAACAATCATTTGGTGGGTTTCTCGTCAGTGCTTGTTTGTGTTAGCTGCCATGTCAGCTTTCACATGAAAGCAGTAACTTTGACATAGTTTATACAACTTTAACACTGGAGGGTGGGACCACCGGGCTCAGAAGCGGCTTTTCCAACAGTCGTTGCCTGTCCTTATCACCTCTAGACTTTGTTCCTCAAGTGGTCTCACTTTAAGTGTATATTTAAGTTGCTATATCCTCACAAGAGTGTCAGTTGCACTACATTTGAAAGGGCAACCTTGGAAAGTGGTTTTACTCTATCCAGATCCTCTATGCCCTATCTCTTCAAGTGGTTTCCTGGAATAGGTCATGCAATTGCTGGTTTTGATGGACATTATATTATTTTCATTACAGTCAGCAGAACCAGAAAGTGCAACATATTGTATATTAATTTGGGCTGGGTAATGAATACATGTTTCGTTTTTTATTGTATCCCGATTGTGTCATCCTATTTAAGGAGGTTTCAGAAAATTAATCATGGTGCACATTATGCAAGCAAATGCAAAATATGTTTTTTCTCACAATTCAAGAGGAAAATACCTAAAATGATCATATTTTATATTGAGTTTTTCACCAAGTCTGCTATATCTCTCAAGAGACTCCTTGAGCCACATGTGAAACAACATATAACTGATATATTCTCAATGTCCCCTCTCCTGTTTCAGTATGATGTTGTGCCCATTCAGCCCAGCGTTGTCATCTGTTCCTGCTCGCATCCATCAATGGTAAGAAATCACCCTGACTCCTGCTCGCCACTTGCTATCCCGGGCGCAAGCAGTAGCCACTGTCCCAGCATGGAGGGCTCAGAGGCTCGTGGTGTAGGAGCGTCCGCAAGCAGCCAGGGCTCGGACCTCCGCGCACAGCCGACTGCCCAGGCCCCTCAGCCACGCAGGAAGAAGCCGGAGGACTTCAGATTTGGCAAGATACTGGGAGAGGGCTCCTTCTCTACGGTATGTAACCTGCATTCCTCTTAGCGTTTTAATTATCCCTGGGTAGATGTTGCTACATGCTCCTTTTGATTAATGTCCTTGGATGAGTCATCCTCAGTTCATTCGAGTGGAGTTGACAAAACAGGCTCTGGAGACGTCAAGTAATGTTTTTTTTTCTTCTGTTTTTTTATTCCTAAGGTTGTTCTGGCAAGAGAGCAGGTAACAGCGAAAGAATATGCAAGTAAGTATAATGCACCAGCTTTTTGTAAATGACACTTTATTATCAAGATGGGAAAATTGCTGCATGTTATTTTTTTACTAAAATATCCTGACTTTTCCTTTCCTCCCTTCCAGTTAAAATTTTAGAGAAACGCCATATTATGAAGGAGAACAAAGCCCAGTACGTGAAAAGAGAAAGGGATTTGATGTCAAATCTAGATCATCCATTCTTCGTTAAGCTGTACTTCACATTTCAAGATGATGAGAAGTTGTGTATCCTTTCAACACGTTGGTCAAGTTTTGTGGCATACTAACAATTTACCAGTTATTCAATTGTTTTGTGACTGATTCTAGTAATAAAATTGTTCCTTAACTAGCTTTTCTTAGATTTTGGTCTCAGCTACGCCAAGAATGGAGAGCTCCTTAAATACATTCGCAAAATTGGTTCTTTTGATGAGACCTGTACTAGATTCTACTCGGCTGAAATAGTTTGCGCTCTAGAATACTTACACAATAAGGGGATAATACACAGGTGAGACTTTTTTTTACTTGTGTTGTATCATTTACTAACCCTTTGAGACGTTGTCCCAAATAAGTAACAACTGGTTTGTCCAATTTCAGAGATCTGAAACCAGAGAATATTCTTCTGAGTGAAGACATGCACATCCAGATAACAGATTTTGGGACGGCAAAACAGTTATCATCAGACAGTAAACAAGGTATAACAACAATCTTGATTTGACTTCTCGGTGTAACAAATAACTGTATTTGCAACGTGAGTTTAGCATTGTATATTCTGTGAGCTTGAGAAAGTTAAGAATCCCTTTTTAACCATTTATTTGCATTATTTGGCAGCGAGAGCAAACTCCTTTGTCGGAACAGCACAGTACGTGTCTCCGGAGCTGCTAACAGAGAAATCCGCTTGCAAGAGGTAGGAAGTTTGATTCACATGCTAATCGTTGTTCTGTTTTCATTTTTGCCCAATAATGGTCGCATCTAATTTTTAACCTTATTCCTCTATCTGTTTTCCCTTTTTTAGCTCTGACCTCTGGGCGTTGGGATGTATTATCTATCAGCTGGTGGCTGGTTTACCACCGTTCAGAGCTGGGTAAGTATTTTATGGGGGCATTTTATGATCACCGCTCAGTTAATTGTAATAATGTCATGCTTAAATAAAGGGCTGGCTGTGTGGTTTTGCTCTATTAACCATTGAAGATTACTGTTAAATGTTAATTAAAACGCACTACGAAAGACAACAACCTTCCCCAGTATTTAGCCAAAACACTTCCTTAACAGTCTCCTTTTTTTGTTCTTTTCTTCTCGTGTTTCATTCCTTGTAGAAATGAGTACCTAATATTCCAGAAAATAATAAAGCTGGAGTATGAATTCCCAGAGAAATTCTTCCCCAAAGCCAAGGACCTCGTCAAACAGCTTTTGGTAGGTCATCAAGAACCGTGATTCATGTCTGTCAAATCTAATTTAATGTTAATAATATCTGTGGGGATATTAATTTTGTACATATGGTTGTCAGCTGGGGTTGGTTAAATACTGGGCAGTGCTTTTCTAGTGAATGGAAACACATGTTGCATCTGTTTTTTCCTCAGTCACTTGACCCTTCCAAGCGGATTGGGTGTGAAGAGATGGGAGGGTACGACCCTTTGAGGCGGCACCCCTTCTTCGACATCATCTCCTGGAGTGACCTACACCTACAGACTCCCCCCAAACTCACCCCCTACCTGCCAGCCATGTCTGAGGATGATGAGGACTGCTATGGGAACGTAAGATATTTGATTATGATCCACCCTTTTTTAGGTCCATTGTTAGCTTCATTGGAAATGGGGGTTCGATTCTTTGTTGTGAAATCGATGATGAACAAATGGCAAAAAATTACAATATTTTCTCCCTTGAAATCGCAGTACGATGACCTCCTGAGCCAGTTCAGCAACATGCAGGTGGCCCAGTCCAGCTCATCACACTCCCTGTCGCCACATGAGTCCACGCCCCCTCAGAGGTCCAGCAGCAACATCGAGCAGTACATCCACGACCTGGACAATAACTCTTTTGAGCTGGACTTGCAGTTCACTGAAGAAGAGAAACAGCTATTGCTGGACAAACAGACCACTGGAAACCCCTGGTAAACCTCCTCCAACATGTGTATTAACATTTTTTTAAATATAAATAATACTTGCATGAAAGTCCTGCTCATGTACAAGAAATATGGAGCAAAGTTGGATCATAATGTTCATTGGTTGAGGGATAATTAATGTTTTAATGGGTGTCAGTAATTCACTGTTGCTTCATCACACAGGCACCAGTTTGTGGAGAATAACCTGATCCTGAAAATGGGCCCGGTAGATAAACGAAAGGTGGGTGTGAATTCTAGGCCGAATAAATCATATATTTATTGTATGTTTATCATGTATTTTATTACATTTCAAACTGCCAGATGGATTATAGAGAAGCTGTGTTCTGCATTAAAAATATAAACAGGTTTTTCTAGTTAATGTTGGCTCAGCATAAATGAAGTCATCTCCCATGTTATTGCTCTAACTGATAGCAGATAGGAAGTAAGGGGGAATTCCCTGTGCTGAGGAGTCTTTTTGGCCTCATAGCCCCCTCTGTTGGTGAACTAATGTCTCGAGACCTTCCTTTGCAGGGTCTGTTTGCTAGACGGAGACAGCTGCTTCTCACTGAAGGACCACACCTGTACTACGTGGATCCTGTAAACAAGGTCCTGAAAGGGGAGATTCCTTGGTCCTTAGAGCTACGCCCTGAGGCCAAGAACTTCAAAACCTTCTTTGTTCATACGGTAAACAACTCTTTCTGCTGTCCTTCCCGTATGTTTTCCTCCAGCGGCATGTTGAGACTTGCCTACTGATTAGATGTCCCTTTCATGTTGTTTACTTTTTTAACATTATTTTTTTGTTGCAGCCTAACCGAACATACTATTTGATGGACCCCAGCGGAAATGCTGACAGATGGTGCAAGAAGATCCATGAAGTGTGGAGAAAGATCTATCAAAAGCACCAAAACCCTGGCCTATAGGAGCACAGTTCCTCTTGTGGCCACTCCTCTTTTAGCTCTGAGGCCAATCACTGAGCAGAGTAACACCCTCTTTAGTGCCCTTCATCACCGCAATTTAAACAAACTCTTAGAGACGCTGGCATCTAGACCTTGTTTGTTTTCCTGAGTAGAACCATGGGAAAAATACAACTTTGGATTCAGGGTTGCTTTGCTTGTTCTTTGTGCTCTCTGTGAGGCTTCTATTGCATTTTTCCATGTATGGATGATAAGACTGCCACCATGCACATCTGCTTTTTGTACATTCTGCAGGGGGGGAAGAGAAGTGCAAGCTTGTCCTGTAGAGTGACACAAGCTTGGGTACTGCTAGGACTATCTCAATTGCAAGGACTGGTTTCCTGCTTCAATGATACCATAACACAGAATCTAGCTTTTGTGAACCAGAGCCTATCCTGATATCTTAATTCAACCATATCCTAATCTTACATCGTACTTGCAAGCTGTAGTCAGGCCCCACTTCTAGAGCATATACTCCATAGTTGTAACAGATACTGTAAGCTGATTCAGTCTCACACGTTTACCAAACTCAAATCCTATATATATTTTTGTCAGAGCCCATATGTTCCCTTGGTATTTGAGTTATTTTTTAAGTCTCCTGGTACTTGCTTATTGCAGTCCAATTAAGGTCTCGTCGTAACAAAGCAGAGCGCCGGTCTGCAGTGAGACTTGGGTCTGAATCAGTCTCTGTATAAGTGTGAGCCTTCCATAGCTGTTACTGAGGATGTATTGCTAACAGGGGGCGGGTAAACATGCCACTAGCTTGTACTTCCTAATCATAACTTGCTTATCTTTCCTGCATGGCCAGTTTTGTAGCTCAGCCTTGTCCGCTTCTCTCTCCCAGGGCACTGGAGATATAGTTTATTCAAGTTTAAAGGTGGGTATTTTTGACTGCATTGGCAACCATAGCGATTATTATTGAATGATTTGGCTGTTATGTACCATTCACTGGCTATTTCTTTGTGGTGTGAATTCTTCAATTTCTTTTTCGGTGGGATAGTCGGCTCATCTTCAGTACGTCCTATTGAAAACTAAATCTTATGTGCTGACCACCCCATGCTGAACAGAAAACCCTCATCAACAGTGATACATACACATACTATCATTCTCTGAAGCAATCACAGTAACGCTGTTGTCCCTGGACAAGATGGCAGAACTGCCTCATTGGGCTCATCGGCCTATCCTTTTGTTTTGGTTCCATTCGGCCTGTTTTATTTCATTCTCTGATGTTTGGCCCAATAGAAATTAAAGCGATTGATTTGTGCTATTGTTTTAGAAATATGATGTATTATCATAATGCTTTTAATTTGTTGACATATTACCTTAAGGTCCTTTCCAAAGGCCCTCTTCCTTCAGCTGAGTCTGTGTGCAGTGTGTGATTGGAGTATAGGTGAATAGGACCCTCTGGCCCTGGGGCTCGATGTGGTTGGATGTCAGTAAAAAGATATCTATCTGATCCAAATAACCAATGAAATTGCTGTATCTGTCTATAAAGTTGAGGAAGCACTAGAGACGTGTTCACCTCTAGTCTAGAAAAATTGTTTGAATCAAGTCGATGGCAGTCGGTTACATTGTGTATGAAATACTCTACCTGGCTTGTAACTGACTAGAACTGTGATGTACAGATGATGTATTATTAAAATCTGAAGCAAGTAATGCAATGATATTAGGATACAGTTTTTGTATTTTTATTCTTGTATAAGGTTATTTGATGGCTATTGTTTAGCCTCTAGTTCATTCTGTGTTATTTAAATTCTAATATATGAATCATATTTGGATTGAAGTCATGTTCAGGGGCCATGTTGTGTATGTATTGAGATGTAAAGCCTTTGAATGTGAATAATTATTGTAAACTATAATATTTTACAGCTTTTTTCTTACTATATCATACATTTTCTATTTGCTCAGTGATTTAATCATATTCTGATAATTTAATGAATCTGTTCATTCTCTCTCTGATTATTTGTGCGCTAGGTCAGTAGATGTTGAATGATGAATTTTCCACTTAATGCTTGGTAGTCCAGTAATTAAAGCATGTAGGGATTTAGGCATACAAATAAAGCCATGTGTCCTGTCTTCTGTTAACGACCGCAGTCATGACACAGAGAAAGCAGCAGCATTCAGTGGCAATGGCATCTCACATTTTGCAGCATGTAAATAAAGTTCCGGCCCATTATCATCAGTGTTTTTGTGTCGTGAAAATTACTTTCATAAAATGCACACTTTCATTGCAAAAAAAGGGAGAAAAGTATATGTTACATTCATAATAATAATCATGAAATACTGAAGATGAAAATAAGAATTAGGTTTTTGACACCTAAAATGCAGTGGTGTAAAGTAACTAAATAGAAACAAGTACAAGTACTGTACTTGAGTACAATTTTGAGGGGGACTTTTCTACTGTGTACTCTTTTACAATTCCTACATTAATAAAAAAACATTTCCTTTGCAGATTTAGTTTTATGATTTGAAATATAATTAAATAAACCTTTGCTTACACCTGGAGTAACATTCACAATCTACCCTGCAGTATACAAAGTAAATAAAATGAGCCGCACCTTTAGTTACACCTGGAGTAACATTCACAATCTACCCTGCAGTATACAAAGTAAATATAATGAGCCGCACCTTTATTAGCTTTGATAACACTTCTGCATTCATAATTACAATTAAATCATGCGATTGTGATGTCCCATTCATCGGCTCTACATGATATTTATTCATTTGAAATGGGCCGATTTGCAGAATGAGTACTTTTACTTAAGTATATTTTGATGCTACATGTTTTTCTACTTTTACTAGAGTCACATTTTGCAGGACTTTCACTTATAACAGACTATTCCTACACTGTGGTACTTCACTTACATTACAAGATCTGAGTACTTCTCCCCCTCTGCTAAAAATGACATTTTAATACGATGTGACATTTCCAGGCTGTCAGTATCAAGAGGAGGACCTTTTATCTGCGGATAATACAAGTGGCTGTCAGTGCTGCTGGAGTGGGTTGGTAGGAGTGGCTGAGGCGCTGGCAGTCTGCTTTGCATGAATCGTGGACTCCCAAGTTTTTAGTGGCTGCAGCTGAGATATTTCTTGTCAGCCGCACACAGCCGAAGCGAGGGCGGAGGAGACGAGGAGAGGGATGGCAGAGAACAGCTCCGAGACAAGCAGCTCCGGACACCGGAGATGTTTGGCCCATTCTCTGGGGGAGAGAAGCACTTCAGCCTGTATGGGGTCATCGAAGTGGATTCGGCTGAACGTCGGGGGAACCTATTTTTTAACAACGAGACAGACGCTGTGTCGAGATCCAAAATCCTTTCTGTACAGACTGAGCCAAGCTGACCCAGAGCTCGACTCCGACAAGGTAAATGCTAAGCTAGCTAGCACTGTAGTTATAGGAGCGCTAACTTTTTTTATTTTTACACAAAAAATTCTAATTTTTGCTCACTTTATTTTTTTAAGCAGTTATGGTGGCTGTTGCCTGCGTTTATCAGCTTGCTTAACCAGACCCAACACTTTGTAAACATTTGTGTTTCTTTGTACTTGGTGCTTACTCGATTTTTTTCTGTGGCTAGGTAGCATTAGCACGGTAAGCTAGCTAGATTCCGACAGTCACCACATGACATTCGATCTTTCTGAGCCAGACGTTGATGCTAATGTTCGTAGTGGCCAAACGGCGGTAGTACCCGTGACGTAATTTAGCTCAAAACGTTTGTCCAGCGGATCATTTAAACAAATTAATAAATCAACTCTCCAATACAAACACTTTTATAACCCGTGTTTAAATCATTAGGGTGTAAACGCTGAAAGCCTGAATCTACAGTCATTTTATTCTACATATGACTGAGCCGAGAGCAGGAGATCGGAGGGGAAAACTCAAGTGCGCATGCTCAATGAGCCCACCTACGGTTACTTTCTGAATATACTGTCGCCCCATTTAGGGCTTCATGCGCGACTGATGAACTTTCATAGGAATGAACGGGGTCCCACATCCATTGCTGTATCCAGTTCTCTTTATAAATCCACGGGTTATTTAACAGGATAAATGGTTTGCTATTGCACTAACCTATATGTGTCTTAAAGTGTTTAATGGAGTCACATAGCTTTTCCAGTGAAAATATTAAGTCGCCCAGCAGTTGTAAACTTTCCCTATCTGAGGCCGTTTGCATTGCAATGCACTCATCGAGGTGTCAAATGTCAGCAATAGTGACACCAATCTAATTTTCTCCATTATTGACAAACAACTACTGTTACACATTTGCTATATATAATGTAACTCGAATTTGTGTATGACTGTAGATACTTTAATATTTAATGTAAACCGTAAGTGGGTTATTTTTGCTCTGCTGCAACAATAATAATTGCATTCAAATATTTAATAGGGCTTCTTCTAAAGACAACATCTTGAAATCAATATTTTATCATATTAAATTCGTTTAGAATAGATTTACTTTATTGATCCCAATTAGGGATTTATTTTCGTCACAGCAGCATGTAAACAAGGCATTGCACACAATGTGAAAATTAACAAACGTAAAATATATACATTCATATTGACAGTGAAAATATATACATCTGTAGACTATCTGTAATATATTCACTATGAAGCGCTAATTACAGCTAACACAATTTAGAAGTAGGATATTATTGACATTAAGTGTTAGCATATTAAATGTAAAAGGTGTGTCCAGATTAATATTGGTTTTGCTGCACTTTATATCTAAAGTTCTTTGACTCATCCGGGGATAGTAATGTCCACAAGTGCTATAATTAACTTCTCAAATGATCTACACATATAATACTTTATTGCTCGATCAATTTGTGTTTTCTCCCCCTCTCTCTCCCGGGGTTAGTCTGTTACTCTGCTCTGTTTGCTCTGCAGTAATCAGCCTGTGTGCTGGTGGCGAGGCTCCCCTAATGAGCACATAAGTCATTGCCAAGTGGGGTGAGGTGCTGCTGACAACTGAGAGCTGGGGATGAAGTCACTCATCTGCCTGAATGGCCTCAATGCTCCAGAAGCAGACTTCTCTCTGTTGGTCCATCTGCTGGTTTTAACAGCACTGTGTGCTTTAAGGCCGCCGGCACTGTCGAACACAATGTATTAGTGTCTGTATGCATAGTGTAATGTGCTCTGCTTTTCATCGTTCATTTTACTGCCCCATTATTCATTGTTTTCATCTACTTGCCCATTTTAATCTTCACCCCTGCCCTCGTTTTTATACTAAGCTGAAGCCGTGGCTCATCTCGTATTTTCATGCAATATCTTAATCTCTCAATAATCAGCTTGCTATTTTGTCAGTTTATCCTCCCATGAGTAACGGATCAGTCCATCTCAATCCCCTTGTCTTAAGTGTGTATCAGACTCTCAAGCCATTACCGCACCACTCTCCTACAGGCGGTCTCATTTAAGATAGCTTCCCGTAAAGGATATCATTAGATATTATATCACATCACTTACACGCGTGTCTCAAAACTATTTACCTTGACAGGATTTGATCTAATCTACAACTGACCTAAGAAGGCCAGGTTTCTTTGCATCACTCAATCCTGCAAGAGAATAGGAAGCCGAGTAACAGATCTGTCTCCTCCTGCAAGAGAATAGAAAGCCGAGTAACAGATCATTGAAGAGCTCTGTTTTTGGGCGAATGCAGTATTGTGTTTCCCAGCCAAGGAAATGAGTGGTTCAGTGTTCAGTATTCAGTCACGCAGGCGGACGTGCATAAGCAGGACACTTGAGGAGAACTGCATTATTCATGTTGTTGACTGGAGCCTCTTTTGCACATTGGGGTTGATCAGGGAGAAAGTGGAGGAAGTGCTGTCACGTGCACGGCCATAACAGCAAAAGTCTTATCTTTACAAATATTCTTTTCAAATAGTTTACCACGCAGTTGACATGCTACTCATTCTTGTCATGATTGCGATATTAAAACTAGGTTTGTTGAGACTTATGTGACTAATTTGTGCAGCAAGATCATAATCAGGTATTGTTTTCAAAATTGATAATTGTCTAATCAACGGGCTGAGAGTTTTCAATAGGCATCCAACCAACTCCCGCCCTCAAGCTACTCAGCTCAGGACCTCTCAAGTAGAGACCCAGCCTTCTAGCTTTGAGAGCTGCATCAATCCTTCAAGCACCCCATCACAAAGGACTCGTGTTCCTTCAGCATCTTTACTCTTTTCATATTTATATCCTTTTGCTGCCCAAAGAACTTCCCTGCAGGATGTGTGAGAGAAATATGGCTGCATTTAAAGCCCTATCCAGCTTGTATGTCACGCCTGAGCAAACTGTGGGAGGCAACGTAAATATTTAACGGTGATTTCTCGGTCTCCTCCTGCTCGGTCTTCTTGCAGTAAGTGCTCAACAGGACACTGCAGAATACTATTGGCCTCATTAGTGTTAAAGCAACTCAGTCCTCATAATCCAGTCCCTTACAGTTGATCATAGCCTTGTGTTTCAGTGAATTAAAATGTCGTCATGTGCAATATTATTCTGCACCAAAGTCAATCATTTCACTTCTATTGCAATACCCGTTTCTTATGCCAGGAGAAAGCTCCAGGTTGCAGTGACTTTCTGGCTTGCCAGCTTAGCCGTAGAGCTACTTAACGGCCTCTTGTAATGACAGCAAAGCTTTTAGGGGACTTCTTTAAAAGGAGCCGTTCATTTACTGCCTGCAGCACTGCTCCATCATAAATTGCTCTGCAAAAACGCACTGATGGTGTTGCCTTGTTGAAATGAAAAAATCAAAGAAAGGCTAGTCTTTCCTCTCGGCCTTAGTGAAAGGTTAAACTCTCATTCAAATGCAGTGTGAACTATCTTGAAATATGAGATGGTTTTGCATAATATAGCCTCGATGTGATGGTGTGTATTATTTAGCAGATGAAGGCTATTTGACTATGCCATTACGGTTTGAACTCCGGAGGGACTCCTGGCTCCAACTCTACAAGGATCAGACTTCCACTTGGCTAAGTAGCTACAGTCATTTGACTCAGGAGATCTACTGAAACATCTTTAAGCGGTGTTTCTGCACTGGGCTTTTACTCGACTGCAGTGAAGTCCGAGCAGCGTTTGATAATGCTTTCCTTTCTTTTTATTCCTGCTCTGAGCTAATTAGAAATGACTCCATTTTCCCTTTTGTGATAAATGTTTACCATCTGCAGTATTACTTTAAAGGGCTGTATGAAATGTAGCCGTGCATTTACCCACACCTGTCTGGCTTGAATTGCAGAATTGTTCCATTTGAACGTTTGGTGCACACCCACTGTTGTACTCCGGAGCAAACATGAAGAGACTTGTCATTTTGTTGAATTATGGATTGACTTTCAATGTATCTGCAGAAAGCCCTATGGACATCACATGCTTGGAGGGTGGGTCACCATGGTATTTCCTGTGGGAGGATATGTATTGTGTGTATGATAAGGTTAATACGCTACACTTCCCTTTACTGTGAAGCCTTCCCTTCTAATTGGCCCAATTTTAACTTGGCTTCAGTTGGAATCCAGTCGTAAGGCTTTGCTTTTGTTACTGTTTATATGGATGCTTTGCACTTTAAATATGTTTGCATGGCCAAACCACAAAACACCACGTAGCTCGCCTGACCTACACTGAACTGACCTAGTTTTGGTAGTTATTGTAGGCGTTGTTGACATTTGTCGGGGTATTTGTTTATATCATCTGATGTTGTTGGTTTAAGCCTTGTCCCGTGTAAATCTAACGTTTTTATTCAATTAATAATTCATGTCTGAATATATAGTGTCTATTTTGGTAACAGTCATCACTTGTATTGTTACACAAAGATGGTGAACTTTCACAGACTGATTTTCACACTCATTCCCTCAATGTATTCATATTTCCCTTTTAGTTTTTCTGCCCGTTTTATAGCACATCCCAACCGACCTCTTTCTATTGTCACACGGTCTCCTCTGCTCGTTGCCCAGTGCTCCCCAGCCCGGGCCCCCAGAGACAGTCTTTTGTTTTGTATTAAAGACACTGTCCCCTTTGTCTAAATGGCCCCCTCTCTCGTAGATGCATGTCCACCCAGAACAGGCTCATCATCATAACGGGTTCAAAAGCTACATGTTTACAGAAGGAGACGAGTACACACCCATGGTAGCTTTGAGGGTTTGATCAGTGGGAGTGTTTTAAGGCATCGTACAATAGTTTATTTGTATAGTGCATCAGCCTTTTTTCACAGCAGACCTTTTCACTGGTCATAGTAGGATAAGCGCAGGTGTTGTAATACTATTTCCGATGACTCAGGTGTCCCAAAATGACAGTGAGCCGGCATGCTGAATACAAGGAACCCTGACACCAAAACGGGTTAAATGACTTGATTGATTAAATGTACTCCTGTGAGTCCTACTGTCACATGTCAAAACGTTTTCAGGGTAAAGGTGACAGGCCCATATCAACCTTCCATTCATCCAAGTTTAATACATCCCATCAAGGGAAACACCCTAAAATAAACAACCCCAAAAAACGGTGTGTTTATGTGATTGTTGATGGTGTAGAGCCAAAAGGGAATTGAGAGGAGACATCCTTAACTCTCAGGCTTTCCAAATACCCCTGTAATAACTAGGCAAACATATCGGCAACGTGTTTATATTTAAGCATATCAAATTTAGCAACTGAATTATTTTGAAAGATTTCCCTATTTTCAAGAGCACTGGGGATATTTTCGGCCTGCTCCTCGGAAAGTTATTGTTACAGCAGTAGTTCCCAAACTCAGAGCCATTCCAGTGGCGATGCACTTAATCAAGAGAAAAATATGAAGTAAAACTAAAGTTTATCACATCTTATGCCAAGACAGACATTTTGACCCCTCACACAAAAGGTACAATGAGTGATATTATGGCGCGTTTCCACTGCAGCGGGTAGCCCCGTTTAAGCGTCCTTAACCGTCCTCAAGCGGCCAGGCCGGTTTTTGGTGGCGTTTCCATATAGCCTAGTACCGGCCAGCGGGTACTTTTTCCCTCTTTTTCCGGCCTCATAAAATCGTGGTTCCCTCAGACCAGGGCCAGGGCTGAACTAGTGACGTCAACACTCTCGACTGCTGATTGGTCAGAGAGAATCGTCACAAGATCGCGCGCGAGTTCATCCCTAGCGTCGCATATATATTTAGAAGCAAGCTTGCAGCATTTTTATAAACAGCATTTTGTAAACGGATGAGCTACAAAAATGGCTACGTCTAATAAGAAAAGCACACCGTGGTCGACCGAGGAGGTGACGACGTTCCTACATCTCATTGGGGATGATCAAATCCAGCGGGAGCTCGACGGAACAACTCGAAATGTGAACAAAAACAAAGCCGATCGCCCCGCCTACACTGCGTTGCTACCCCAGGTCCTAAACTGTAATGGAAATGCGCCACGGCCTGGGCCGGCCAGCGAGGCAGCCCGAGGCCAGAGCGAGGACGCTTAGGGACGCTTAGACGGGGCTACCCCGCTGCAGTGGAAACGCGCCATTAGTCATTGCTGAAATTGTAAGACTTAATAACTTAAACTTCTCCGTCATAGTTTTTGCTGTAAAAAAGCTTTGATAGATTTAGGGAGTAATGCTAATAACAACTGTGCTCGGATGCTGCAATGGCAAGTTTCAGGACTGTGATTGTATTCAGAAAGCACACAATAGGTACAAGATGGAGATATGTTTGACAGGAATTAAAAATACAAACCGGTGATGCTCATGGAAACCACGAGTTGAAGCTTAACCACTATATGCACTGTGTGGTTTGTACGTGGTTAGCTTTGCAGCTTGAGTCTCGTCTGTTTCCTCCATGCAGGCCCGCTTAAGCTTAAGCTTGTGCACTTCACTATAGAAATGTAAAGAACTGACGCGGGGCATTACGACCAGAATAGAGCTCCAGTGGGATCTTTTTGCATTGGAAAGGAGGTCAACTAGCCAGGAGGGTTCAGATTCATTACAAAAGGAAATGCACTGGGACCGTTTCTCATTATTGGAAAGATGAATGGGTTTTCAGCTGAATCCATCTCTCGGCCTGAGAGCTAACTGAAATGTGCACATCCTTCTTTGCAGTGTATGACAATATTGCACCAACCAGCAAATGTGCTCCTGAAGCCATGTCGCTCGACCGATGCAAAGTCAAACATCCTGCAGCACTGAGAATTAGCACAGAATTAGCTTAAGGCCTGTCGTCCGTGCCTGCAGTGTTTTACTAAATGCCAATGCGTGTTTGACTCATTAAATTTGCATCGTGTTAAGCTACTTTTGCTGTGAAACTAGAGTTGGCTGCACATGCGTTAGTCCGTCTTTGTAACAGACGAGGCTAATTGTTGAAAGCCAAGGTGCTTCCTCCCGCTCCCCTCGGTGGATTCAGCCTTCTGTTCCGAATCTTTTTACGTTCTGCTCTAATTGTTTTAGCGTCCTCTTCCCCCACGAGACAGAGTCGTTCTAATCGCAGTACTTACAGAAATAGAGGGAATACCCAGTGGTTGTGGTGAAATTGGGATCAAACCCAAGGCCTGTGGGAATATTGAAGTGATATCCCAAAGCTGCCGTCCGTGTTTTCCTCTGTGCGCGCATGTGCTTTAAACCCCTGTAGAGATTATCAGCACAGGAGCTGACCTCATAATTCTCATCCCTTGAGTTTTGTTCACTGATGTGTTGTTTTTTCCCTCCACAGATTATATTTCTCATCTGATTTAAGCCTGCTCATTGTCTCCTTATTAAAGCAACACTGGCAATATGGAAATGGGAAATAAAATGTACGATGAAAGGATTTTGAATCTCTTCTATTCTCTTTTCTTCTTGTTCTCTTAACTGCATCCACAAAATGAATATTGCTATCTGTGCTTCAGGTTTAACTAAAAACCAGGCTGTTGAAGCGAATATTGAAAGAGTGAAAACTGTGTTGTTCTTTTTATCTTCTTACCCTCCTATTCCTCTGCTTTTCAGGATGAAACTGGTGCCTATCTCATAGACAGAGACCCGACATACTTTGGGCCGGTGCTGAACTACTTGAGGCACGGCAAACTGGTGCTCAACAGGGACCTGGCAGAGGAAGGTAACGTCTCCGTGGAGATGAACTCCAAGAAATGTGTTCCAAAATACAGCTGTCTGTAGCACAATAAACACATTGGTAACACACTTGTGAATACCTGTTCTCAATATTTGAGTTCATTACTGTGGATTGGCTGTCATTACATTTACCTTTTACATTATCAAGTGATCGTATGAAATGGATCGACATGCTGTTGGGTCATGTTTTATATTACATTTTTCTAGAATATCTTTGTGTTTTTTATTACTCCTATTCCAATCTCCTAATAATCGTATTGATTATTACTCTTACGAAGTTCTTGCTTTATTACTATATTATATAATCATTCTTTCAGTGGCCTAAAACAGCCTTTTAAATAAAAAATAAAAAAATATTATTGCTAATTATTTCTGGGACAATACATCGTCCCCCAAAATGACTCATTGTGACCGGTTTAATAGATATTTAAAAAAAGGTAATGTAATATTAATGTAGCAAAGAAATATGGCAATCAATCAGAACTGCCCTCAGTTTTAACAAAATACAATTCATATGATTTAGAATATAAGAATAGATTTCAACATTTTGCAATCACATCAAAATCCCTAAAGTAGATGCACTTTCTAGCAGTACCAGAATAAATGTGCCTTTTTTAAAAGCCTAAATGTTTCTTTTGTTCTGCTTTAGGCGTGCTAGAAGAAGCCGAATTCTACAACATCACATCATTAATAAAGCTCATCAAGGACAAGATCAGGGAAAGCGACTGTAAAACATCACAGGTACACCAGGTTCTTATTTAAACCGATTTCTCTATGAATGTGTCACTCACTCCTGTCCTGTTAATTTTGTGTTATCTCTCCCTTTCCCTCTCTCCCGTGGTCCCCCTCTCAGGTTCCAGTGAAGCATGTGTACCGGGTGCTGCAGTGCCAGGAGGAGGAGCTCACGCAGATGGTGTCCACCATGTCCGACGGCTGGAAGTTCGAGCAGGTAAGTCTCCTCCTGCAGGATGGACAGCAGCAATCCTCCTTTCATGTTGCTTCACCCACCCCGCTATGCTCACATTGACCCAGAAAAAGTCCAATCCTAAATATTGGAAATGGCTACTCACATATATTTTTTCAATGTCCGCATACATGATCCGGGCATCCCTTTCTGTGCTCTGATTGGTTGTTGCAGCTTGTCAGTATAGGTTACGGGCGGGCCCACCAGTCAGAGTTTCTGCTGATTGTGTCAAGGGAGGTGAAGGGAGAGGCGTCTGCTTTGCCAAACAACAGCGGACAGGTGTGTCTAACAACTTTCTGTCCACGGGCTGGTCACTGCATGGTCCCCATGTTGTCCATACACACCCCGTCGGCCATGTTTGTCCCAAGTAGACTCATAGCTGTTGGTCTTTTTTTGTGTTCATTTGTACTGCTTGCTCACCAGTGAGGCTAAGAGAACATGACACCTTTTCTCTTCTTGTCTGTGATTCTGTTTTATTATGCTTTTTTTTTTCATACTGCATTCACAGTTTTTAAGCCTTTCCACAGCTCTGTGTGTTCTGCTTTAATTTAGCCACTTGGCTGTTTTTGGTGCTGGTAGTGATGAACTGTTATCCTCCCTGTTATCCTCCCTATCTTCTTGTCAACAGATTCAAACATTAAGAGTGAACAGACCTAGTTTACATGAGTTATGTTGAGCCGGAGCTAGTATTTCTAATGAGTCTGGGTGTTGTGTTGTGTGAATGAATTTCCCTGAGACAGGGGATCACTGGCTCCCCCATTAGAGCTGAAATCTCTCTAATCTCCTTACAAAGGTCAGATGGAAACTCCTAGAAACACTCCTTATGCAAAGCTTAAAGCTTGGTCGTCAGCGCAGGAAAGTCTTTTAGGGAGATGAGATTTAAAGACCTACTGCTGCGTTAAGGCTGCATTAATATAGACAATTTGTTGAAGTGTATTTTACCCTGAAAGCCTTAGGATTTGGTGCGTGTCGAGTCTTAAGCAGCGTGACAAGTGGAATCCATGGTAGGTAGTTGAGATGATTTGGTCTGCGTTGAGTACTAATGTGAGAGAGATTGCTTAACAACAAGTCTCCGGCAGCAGCGGCTAATGAGGAGCTGCATGTCTGAACATGCACACCTGGGCACAGACAGTATACATGTAGCCTGCAGTGTACACACACTTAACATTCAGCAGTTATTCAGGAACACCATTTTCTTTCTTTCTCATGTTTTGAAAGGTGTGCATGCAGTTGGTTTAAAAACATCTTATGTCCTCCCTTTTTTAAATGATCCTCTTGTGTCTTTTATTCCAACCGACATGACTTGGAACAGGGAAACTAGAAATGACCACGCCTATTGTATTTTAAGAAGCCATGCTTTTCATCACAATAATTTTTCTGACTGACATATGTGATGCTCAATGCAAAAAAACACCTGCTGTAACAAGCAGGAGCTTTACATATCATTTGGTTGAATTTGGTTTTGTCTTCCACTGGTAAAACATGCAGCTAAAGCCTCATGTAATGTGGCCCGCAAGAGCTTGCAAAGAATATAATAAACACTACAATTGGTGTAATTGTTGAATATTTGCTTTCAATGATGTGCCCTAGACTTCTGCTTTCAGACGTAGTTATTATAGAGTTATTACCAGAACTGATAATAATCCAATGCAGAGCCTATAATGTAATATAATACATTATTTTATATTTATTATATATGTATATTTATATAGTCTTAAAGTTACAACCGGCCCTTTAGTGCAACCATAATGCTGATGTGGACCGCCATGAAATTGAGTTTGACCCCCCTGAGCTAAAGGGTTAACAGACTCATTGTAATTACTACTGATTGAATTGATCGTAATTCACATGGCAGTTAAGGCACTGGAGAAATCACATTCTTCTTTGACCTACTAACATTCAAACCACTGAGTCAAAACATTTAATGATGGGATTATGCAATTGTGTAGTTTGCTCATTTCTTTGCTTTGTAGTATACTCTTATTTCTAATACTTTGCATACATTATTTTCTCCAACTTTTTGTTGTAAACAATCCTGGTCCTCTCGTGTCACGTTCCCTTTTCCCTGTTCATTTCCAGAAGAAGCATGTCTGCTCCCTGTGTTCGGGCCCTTGCACCTGTATTTATTGAACTATCAGCTGGTGATCTTTCTTCTTTCTGTGGGGTCTCTTCTGCCATTTATTTGATTATCATTGCTTTATTTCTGTGGACCACCAATTATTTTATTCCTCTGTCATAACTTTGCTTTTTAGTTTTCAGTTTGCCCATGATTGTGTTATTTCTGCAGGTCCTAAAAAAACACAGTTTGCGTTTTTGTAATTGTAGTATCTTAAAACCCACACATTTCTATCCCCTCTTAAACTCTTGAGCCTCGAGATGTTATCAATGGGTTTATTAGTTTAATCTATTAAGAGGGTTGGCCTAGTGGTCTTGGTGTCACATCTAATTGTGCCAAGATGTAATCCCGGGTTTAAATCTCACCCCGGCCTTTTATGTGGCGTCCCCTCTGTATCCCATACAATGTGGTGAATCTATTTTAGACAAAAACTGCAAGATAATTAATTATACAAACAATCCTAAGAGTTAAAGTTACCCAGGGCACACTCAAATGAGTCTGTTTGAACCAGTTTGAGCTCCAAAACAGCTTTTTGAGGAGCTTTACATTTGAGTTGCATGAACCTGTCCTCCTTGATTAGTTGTCTATCATTACTTGAAAGTCTTTGTAACTGTTTTTCCACCAGCTTTATAAGTCTGAGGCTAATTCTTCCTCTGCTCTCATGTCTCTCTCTAGCTGGTCAGCATAGGCTCCTCTTACAACTACGGAAACGAAGACCAATCCGAGTTCCTGTGCGTAGTCTCCAAGGAGCTGCACAATCAATCATACGGGACAAACAGTGAGCCCAGTGAGAAGGCCAAGGTAAGTGTGTGTGTGTGTGAGGCCGGTTTGAAAATCCATCCACAGCAAACATCTGTGAATGATGGCCTGTGCTGAATGTTTTAAATGCATTGCATTTATGAACATGCCACCAGGGGACGGAAAGCCCCTCTGGTTTATTGATGAGAAGGCTCTATGAAGGAGAACATTGTGGATACTCAGTCCAGTTAACAAAACAGCATGCCTGTGCAAACCACAAGTGATGAGAGAAGGGGATACAAATGTAAGCAAAGCGACAGACATTTTGACGTGTTTAGCTGGTCCTCTGGCATTAACCATTTTAATTTTGACTGTGCTCTGGGCATTAAGAGAGGACAGGTCTGCAGATAAGTGGAAGGTCTGCCATTTTCTCCTGGGCTTTGGGAGCGAAGCAGGAGGCGTTCACTGCCCCGAGGAATTCGAACTCCCATCGGCTTGTCCCTGCGGGGGCCTCACACCTTAAAGGCGACTGCACACAGAGAAGCACACCGTTACTCTGTGTAGTCATGCTGCCGTTTCTTTTGATAGGAAGAGTAAACCCTACCAGAGCATTTTTCAAACAAATGTAGAGACTTAGAAGGGACTTACTTGTTTCCAGGGGCATCGTATCCCTCTAGGTATGAATACTTTTATGTCCTCTGCAAAGAATTTCAAACTAAAAAGATCTCTCCTTGTTCTATAACGTATTGTTTGTAATAAAGGACATCATTTGCAATCAGTTGTCACTACAGCAGGCAGACAGGTGCTCCTGGACACATTTGCATCTTATTTGAGTGTTTTTTTGTGGGTTGATGTGATGTGGCCCTCTCAACAATAATCCATTAGTTTTATTTACCACCTGTTCTCTTGACATACCATTTATATGATCTATTACTTCACAACCTCCCTTTCCCGTCTTCTTCTGTGGTGTCTGCATGTTGCTCAGAGCGAGGCAAAGTCATGGATTAAGAAATGAACGACTCTGATTTAGGTTCTTTATGACTCACTGAAGAGCGCTCATCTGCTCAAAGTCACTCCACCACACCTCTTCAATTGGTCCCTCTCTTTTCTCCCCGTGCCTCTTTGATGCAGGTTGCATTTTTTAACAACATGTCAAAGATGATAATATACTTAAACCACAGCAAAGGAAGGATGATCAGAAGCCAGATGGTTCCTGCTGAGGCCGGTTGAATACTTCTTTGCTCTCCTTTTTTTAAACCAGATGGGAAGAGCTCCATTTGTTTCAGTAGTGGAAATAAGAGCCTTGTAATGATTGCCCTGCTCTCAGCCCTGGTTAATGGACTCCATGCTGAATCATCATCATCATCATCATCAGCTACCGTTTGACTCACTGTCCCTCACTCAATGACATGTGAAGGGAAGGGTGGGTTACTACGCTCCCATTGTCCATTTCATTGTTAGACATAGTAGTAGTTGATGTTTTGACTGCACTGGCTTGTGTTTTTAAATCTGTCCTTTCTTTTAAATAAAAACAGTGCCTTAATTAGGAAAACTATGTATTATTTGAAGCACTATAGAAAGATGCATCTGTCCGGCAGTGGCTCAGTCAGTAGGGGCTTGGACTGTGAGCCGTAGGGTCGCCGGTTCAAGTCCCCGACCAGACCTAAAATATGGAGTGTGGACTTCTACTTGGAGAGGTCCCAGTTCACCTACTGCCCTGCCGTGGTGCCCTTGAGCAAGGCACCGGACACCCCCCTCCCCCCCTCACTCCCATTGCTCCCGGGCGCTGTGCAATAGCTGCCCACTGCTCCTAGTGCTAGACTCCTGGTACTAGGATGGGTTAAATGCAGAGAACACATTTCACTCTGTGTGCTCTGCATGTGAGACCATTAAGAGGGTTTCATCCCTCCCAATTCTTCTACATGATTGTAGTGCTAATGTTTAAGGTAGCAAGCAGGTAATACTTAATATAAATAGCTCATGGCGCTCATTCCTGGTGTTCTACACAACAAGTGAGAAACCATTATAGATGCAGCTACAAATACCATATAGACCTGCAAAGATAAGATATTCATAAAAACAATTAAAACAAAATGATAGGTCAGTTAAAGGACGGAGTATTATGTAAGAATTTGACTTGGAACAATTGAATAAGTGATTTCCAACCAAACAGGTGGGGCTGTCGGAACTATTTTTCATTACAATCAGTTATTATTATTTTCCTCACATGGGCAAGCGTTTCCCTTTTCTCTGCGACCAATAGAGCATCTTGGATTCAGCCAGCACATACTCTAGATGAAATGTCTGATTGCTTCTGTCTGGGAGGGTATGCAGTTGCAGGGAGTTAACATGTCCGTAAGAGAATTGCTTCTCAACTTATTCTTCAGATTATGGACTATTGTGATGTTGTCTACCAAAATGCACATAAATCAGATCTTGCTCCACTCAACATAGCCTACAACAGACTATGCAGATGTGTTCTTGGTTGTCCTTTTCGTACACATCACAATGTAGAACCAACTTAAATGGCCTTCATTAAATGTAAGAAGACACACGCATTGGCTTCAGCTGATATTTAAATGAATTTATCTTAACTATCCCGCTTATTTAAAGCAGTATTTTGTACCCTACTCGCCAATTCATCAAGTTAGACATTCTGTTCAGAAACATTTCTCTGTCCCCTCTGCAAAAACATCTATTGGCAGAAGAGCGTTCATGTTCAAAGCCCCAACAGACTGGAATACTTTACCTGCTGCTATTAGATCTCTTGCATCATTGGGTATGTTTAAACATCTCACTTTCAACTGCTCTGCACTTGTTATTGATGAAACTGATTTGCTCGACTGTCTCTCAAATTGTAATGATTGAATTTTACTTAACAGACTGTACGTGGTTTGTCATGTTTTGCTTTTTGTTTATGTATGTCTGTAAGTTGTTGCTATTGTCGGGACCCCTTGAAAACGAGATGCTGCATCTCAAGGAGTTTATCGCAATAAATTCAATGTCTATATATGTAAAAAATGCAGAATGACCCTGAACACAAAGGACTGTACAGATTCAAAGTTTTAGACCATGGCATTTTTGTTAATGTGATCATGTTTTGGTCTTTGCAGATCCTTCAGGAGCGGGGTTCCCGGATGTGAAGAGGACTCAGTATTATGAGCTCCAGGTGTTATGATGCTCACATATCATCTCTGAGGAAGAACGTTTGGCAAAATGGAGATTTTGGAGAAGGAGGGGATTGTGCATTTATTTTGTGGTTTCCCTCCATTTTAGTTTGTATCTTTTGATGTAAATAAGTCTGTTTACTGACAATTTGTGCCTGTACATTTAAACTGGACCTTTTCTTTGTTTTAGAATTAGTGGCAATTTTTTTTTTCTAATTGAGACTAAAGTATTGCTATCTACAAATGTTTTATGCTATAAAGAAAATGGCCGTCATCATATAAGGCCAATGATTCACTCAGGGTCATCTATTGAGTTAATTCTTATATCCTCCTACTCGAGGGTCTGCTAAGGGATCACTATGGTCTTTATATCTATTGAGTATCAGAATCATTGTTCAGAGAAGTTAAGAAGGGAATTGTGCATTTATCTAGCACATGTTAAAGAGTTGGGCTATTCAATGTCAAATTCACCCTAAAAAAAAGTAATATTTTCTCAACGTTTTCAAACAGTTACACTGATATTTATGATCATGAGGATCTCAGCAGTACAACACACACATTTCCAGATGCATTTGAAGCATTTAACTTTCAATCAAAACTGAACAGATATGTCGGAGATTAGATACCGTAGGTTAAGGCATTAGGTTATTTATCACTTGCACAGCTTTTATTGGTGTTGGAAGTGTCCTGTTAAGAAAGAAATATGGAAGTCCCATTTTAACATAGACTAAATAAGGTTATCACAGCGATACAGCAGAATATCTGATACGAAGTGCTTTTTAATTGATATTTTATCACTGTAAAATAAATGTGTGTAGCTGTTTGTGGCACCATCTTGCCATCTTAGTAACACTATGACCCACAGATAAGGCCAGCTGTGGGATTAAATAATTATGTGTTCAGGAAGTTTACCCCCCTGTATTATAAGGATAACATGTTTAAGTTTTGGATATACATTTAACACACTCAAAAATATTGTTTCAAAGTAAGATTTCTGCTGCTTCTGCAAATGTGGACTTTTAGAAGAAGTAATATCGCTCTATAAATGTGCAAATCTATATCAAGTTAAACCTAAACCTGCCAGACATTTTTCTTAACTCCTCATGTTCATAAGTCAAAGTTAACTGCCGATATAGTCAGAGGTGTTTAAAATGAGTTCTGTTTTACAATATTATTCTTTGTCCCGTCAGGAAAAACCTCCTCGAGACAAGGGTGTTTTTTTTCCCCCCACACACTTTAAGGTTTCCCTAACTGGTTTATTTTATATGTTTGAGGGAACATCACTTTTATTAAGATATTTTGAGGGGAAGTGTTTGTAATGGGGGGTTGGGGGGGGGGTTTGAGGACAGGAACTGCTCAAAGGCAGCGGTGAAGGACTTTTTTTTCTGTTCATATCCAGAGGATTTTTGTTTTGATGTAAATAATCCAAATTCAATATTAATATTTAACTCTTTAAAAAAAAAAAACTGCACGTTTTGTACACTGTATAGAAATCACAACTTGGAATGGAAGTTGTTTATACTGGATCTTTAAGAAAATTAGAAAACCTTGACGACGTTGACTTTGCATTGTTTGTACAGGAGATTCCTGACACTGATAACATGCCTGGATCATGTTTTGATAACCAATAACAAAGCTATACTTGGCTGGCTATGAAGTTGACTGTTACATTTACACACAAAAAAAGACTGATGTATTTTTCCTGCATTGTGATTCTTCTAAGCATTTTGAAATGTGTAGATTTCGTACACAACATTACAAGCACTACAGTGTAACAAAACAAAAATGTGCACATTGCTTACAAGCCTGTAATGTTGTAAATGTAAATACTGCATTTTAGAACACTTTTTTTTTATATATAGAAAGTTGTTTTCAGGTTTGATGTGTGGTTTTTGATAGGTTGGATATTTCATTCACAAATAATCATTTAGTGTTGCCTTTTTTTCCCCCCAATGACCAAAATCCAATGTCTTATGTGTTTCATACACATTGATCCATGTGTCGGGGACAAGTCAACTTTTCTTAACGCTGGCACACTTTGTACATATAGACTTGTTAACTACACACAAACCTCCATTTACTCACATGTAGACGTATACACTTGACTAAAACCATTTTTATATTGTCGGGGAAACAAGTATGAAAGCATGTTTTTGATATAGATATACACACAAACACACACACAAGGGCTTTTAAAGTGCAACATTTGACATCTGTAAAGAGTTTTAATCAAAGTAGACTGGATTTCCTGCCAGAGCTAGGCTATGTTTACATTTGCTATAGTATTCTGAAGCCTTCCAATTATGTACTGTCTTGCACTCCCTCACACACATTCGTCTGACTTGTGTGACTGCACCAATGGAAACTAGCACTCCACATGAGCTGATATCCACACAGATGACTCCATACACTTCTTAAGAGCCTATGCTGGAGCGTTGCAGACAATCTTGCTTTCCATCCTTCTCCGATGTTAGAGATTCTCACTTTTAAACGGATTAAACGTACCTGCGTCAGCTCTGAGTTTATTTTGGTCTTTTTAGACTTAATTTTTTTCTGCGATGAGATTGTTTTTGTGTTTTGGTTTTGATTGGTTAAGATGTAACTTCATTTGAGGTGTTTAACTGCTACATTACCTTATATTGCCCTTCACAAACTGGTTGTCTGGTTGAGCATTTGACATAGATAATCATTTCATGTGATGGACAAACTTATCAAATCTGTAGCCTAATACTTATAAGTGCCCAGTTTGTTTTGCATTCAAGTCATAATCCACAGACCACTGTAATGCATGATTGAAGATGATCACACTTGTAATCAGAGGGAATGAACGTGTCATTTCTCCTCAATCTAGCATTTACATCGATGAATAAGATTCTCATATCACTACATAGATCACTATTCTATATGATCTTATGCAATGTTAAACATGTACAAACTAAGTATGAGGTTAAGGGGATAGATCTATATGGTCTTGCATAAGGTAAACCCAATAAAATGTTGTCATTCATAATGTTACCTGTGTGATTTATTTTTCAGATATTACCCTGTGGCTAATAGTGTAAATTACTTTGTATTTCTCATTTAAAAATAACAGTACATATACTTTTTTTTTTTTTTTTGAAATAAGTCGTAGTTTCCTTACATATGTAGCAAAACATGTATAAATCACAAGTCCTGTTTTTTGGATGAATAGCGCCCTCTTGTGTCTTTTCCTTGAAACAGGCTGCTAATGACTTAGTTGCCCTAAAACATCCCTGACTAGAACTGTAGACAATTGTTTTTTATTCGCTTTGTTTGCACTGCAATATACAACAGTGTTGGGGGATCTGTTGTTCACAAGAAAACATCTCAGAAAGAGTAATCCAAACTGTTAAGAAATTGTAAATATGCTATTTAATTGTCAAACCTAGTCGTTTGTGCTAACGGTCTTTAGTCTGGTCAAAGATGATTTATAAGGGAAGATGTAAATCCACCTGTGTTGAAGGACATCGCACCTAGTCTTTTCTGATGTATGAAATAGGAATATGATTAGTACAGCTTGCAGGGAATCCTGAATATTAAATGTAATCGGTCTCTTGTATTTTAGAAGTTACTTTTTTTTATTTTTTTCGGTATATGTGACCCACAGCGCATCAGTTATGAGAAACATCTGCAACGCAAAGACGATCTTTCACAGCCATACCAAGTTGCTTGTTATAAACTATGTGCTATCAGCAGAAGCTATGCCGCTCAAATCAAATGAAAACTAACAATCAACCAGATAAAATGTCAACAGTTGAAAAGGCACACTCAAAAACCCACAGCGTAAAAAAGATAAAAACACACCATGATTTTTCTTTTTTTAGGGTTGTTTTTCTTAAACAATTAATTTTGTATCTTCTTTAACTGTGTGTATGCATGCACCATATACACCAAGACAAATTCCTCGTATGTGTAAACATACTTGACAATACACCTGTTTCTGATTACGATAAGGGTATTTAAACGAAGACGGAAGTACGAGACAGATGACTATTTCGCCTCGTTGTGTTTGTGGCTATCTTGAGTAGGAGCGGGTGGTTTTTCAGGAGGGAAACTTTACAAGGTTTAACGGGATTTGAGAACGATTCATTCATTTAGCCTCAATCACAGAGCCAGTGCAATTACACTGAAAGGTAGGAGCACACCTTTATTAGCAAATACGTTTATTTGGTCGTGTATTGAGATATTTTACCCGCTTCAGTTTGCGCCATTTTCGCTAGTTTGGTAATGCACAAATGTGCGCCTTTCAGCTCTGCGGTTCTTTGTCCCTATGCTTTAATGGGTTACGATATGAATGATTCCTGTCAAATATTTCACATCCCTGGTTGCTATTACAGATACTTTATCAATAATACTTAGGGGAAAGGGACTAATCACTTTTCTGTCATCCAAAATATGGTTCAAATCAAGTGCATTAGCGCATTTCTGTGCTGCATCAGGCCGTGTCAGACGCTAACAGCGTCTGTTGGGATGTAGCATGATTCTGGCGCACATGAGTTAGCTCACAACCGACTAGCTTTCTAATCAAATAGCTTTTTGCGGTCAGTGTGTTGACATTTAAGTCGATGGCAAGTTGACAGTACAACTCAACGAAGGTGTAAGATGTTAAACTAACATGTTTTAATTTCCCGGGACCACTAATTGTATCATCAGGCGCAAACAAAATAGCATGGGAATCGTTTTCTGTAGCTATAAGGTTATCACTACCAGCTAACTTCGCTAGCCCCTTAGCCTAACAGACATGAACAATACGTTAGAACGATAAAGGTTGGTGTTCAAAGTTTATCACGTCCAAAGTTGCCCATTTATATAGGGTACTACTTTACCGATATAACGTTTGTAAATGCTAAGTGGGCAGTTTCTAGTCATTTTGTTGCCTTGTTTCCTGTTACTTTACGTTATCTCCAAAGCATCGTTGCTATAGAGATAATTAGACATTCCAATGCAGGGGCTTAATTAGAGTTTCTTTAAAGCAATTGGCAACTCAATGGCGTACAACTCAACCACCGCAGTATAAAAGATAACTTGGTATAAGTAAGGACAATCACATTAACTAACGGTTAAAGGTGTGTGTAGAAAGACCTGTTGTTGATAAATGGAGTCCATTACATGGATAATGTCAGGTTTTTATTTCTGGTGTTCCTTGCCCCTTTTTTCTAAACCAAATATTGTTTTTCTTTATACATAATGTGCAACTAGGCATTAGACATTATGTAACAAACAGGAAATAAAAAAACATCTAAAAATAAAACTGAATTAAAATGTATACATATTGACAGTGAAAGATAACAATCTGTTGACTGTCAAATAAACACTTTAAAGGGACAAATTACAGCCAACACCATTTTAAAAGTTATATATCATTTCTTTTTGGATTTAATGACTTAATTGGCAACACTTGTCAGCTTTTAAAACCATGTATGAAAAACATCTTTCATGACATGACCTTGACAAAGTTTACTTGTGAATATCCCTGTTTAAGATGATGTGTTATATAATTGTCTTGACTGTCTCTTCTTATTGCAGGAGTCCCCGAATCATGTCAGGCATTGCATTGAGCCGCCTTGCCCAGGAGCGCAAGGCATGGCGGAAAGACCATCCTTTCGTAAGTAGTGTCTCTTGAGATGCACCTGCTTTGTCCTCACCGTCCTGTTCACACCTGAAAATAAAATGTCAGCTCACAAGTGGATAGCTATAAAGAACCGGTGTCAATGCATCCAAGCTTCCTTCAAATCTGAACGCTCGGACCATATTTGAAGGTGGTCTTTGCCGTATATGGCCACATTCTCTCAACAGAAGTATGCCAATGGATCCTCGGCCAAATTAAAAAGAAACTTTGAATACATGTATTATGAAATAATTTCTCGTGTCAGATATGTTATCGTATTGTGGTGATGTGCCAGTGTTTCTGCTCGAGTCCACTGTCACAAATGTGACACCAGCCTTACTTCTCTAATCCCTAACACACCTTTGAGCTCTCTGTGCTGCAGTTGCCTGGCACAGAGGATGTCGGTAGACCATTATCTCATATTTGTATGTTCTTAAAATGAATTTGAAAAGAACACACACACACACACACACTGCAGTCAGGCTGAGAAAAGTATGCCCGAAGGCACACAAACTGTAGGCAGTGCTTTTCTTTAATCATTACCGGTTTCTGTAATATATGTGTGAGTAATTCCTTTAAAATGGAATACACACCAATAACAACCACAACTTTCCATTATGTACCGTGAAAAAGGAAATGATGTTTGTGTATATTTACATATAAAACAGTGAAGTGCGATCCGATCACAAATGGTCACTGGAGACGTGTGGATCTGCATACTAATGCCAGACACACTTGGGCCTGTCCACTTGTGAGCTCATCACCAAACTGCATGTTAATGCCAGGTCTGATCTTGTCAACTGATGTCTTTATAAATGTTTGCACTCTCCTGTTCAATCTTTCAGGGATTTGTTGCTGTACCAACAAAAAATCCAGACGGAACCATGAATCTCATGAATTGGGAATGTGCTATTCCTGGCAAGAAAGGGGTAATGTCTCTGTCTTTTTGCATATAGAACATATTTGCTTTACGCAGCATCCCCTGCTACATGGAGCACAGTGAGCTTATTTGAAGCCACTGTTATTTCTGTAGCAGGTGAATGGGAAAATTGATCATTCTTAAAACTGGGAAAGCTTTACGAGTGATGAGCCTGAAACCTACTTATAAAATAAATCTGGCAATAATAACAACAACATGGTTTTCAAGAGTTATTAGTGTTGGAAACTAGTGCCAATATGAATCTAATGCTTGTGTTTCTCCTCAGACTCCGTGGGAAGGAGGCCTGTTCAAACTGCGCATGTTGTTCAAGGATGACTATCCTTCTTCGCCTCCAAAATGTGAGTTACTGTGTCTGACCTGTGATCAGTGTGAACACAACTGTTATTGGAATTACTGCACTCTGTTATTATGTCTTACAAGATGCTTGAAGAAGTCCATCGGCATTGTGCAATCAGAAATAACATGGCAGAAACTGCACAACAAAACGCTTCATCAACCATGACAATCATTTAGGCATGGGCCTTTCCCCTGTGGGTCCTGCTCTGTGATGGTACATGTTCCTCTAACCTGCAACAGGGTTGATGTTGTCTGAATGTCACAATAGATAACATTAGGTCACTGCTCTCTGAACAACAGAAGCTGCTGCTTTTACATTGAAATGTTCAGTCCGTGTATATTGTGGAAATCTGTCAGAAGAAAGTGGAATTTGTTCATCGTCTGACATTTGTAATGGATCTGCAACAAAGATGCATTTACATTTTCTTTTTCTTGGGTTTCAGGTAAATTTGAGCCTCCTCTCTTTCACCCAAATGTGTATCCATCAGGCACGGTATGCCTATCAATTCTAGAGGAGGACAAGGACTGGAGACCAGCCATCACAATAAAGCAGGTCTGGATTGCTAAGCATACCTCATCTACATTAAAGGACATTTCTGAAAAGTCTTATGAACTTAGTTTTTGGTTTCATACTGTACCTCTACATTTATATCAGTGACTGCATCTTCAAATGAATTTGCTTGAACAACACAAAGGGAGTTGTTTCAGTTATATTGACATAGTTATATGAAACTTGGCTCTTAAGTTAAATTGCAAATGTTCTGATTCAATATGAATTGTTACAGACTGCTGGAAAATAAGGGTTAGGGTTATTAAACAATTCAGGGAGATTGAACCCAAACAAAGAGATAATACAACAGCTTTTACATTGTATCACTAACACATGTGATGTTGTCTAATTTACCCTACAGATCTTATTAGGTATCCAGGAACTCCTAAATGAACCAAATATCCAGGATCCAGCCCAAGCAGAGGCTTACACAATCTACTGGTGAGTGACCTTGGTTTTCATCAAAAAATACCTAATTTGTAATCTTGTTCAGGCTGTCTGCGGGGTCTTAAAAAGTATTCAAAGTTGATGAATCAATTTAGTGAAAATTAAGGCTATTAAAAAATATTAAAGGGCATTTTCTAAGGTATTACATTTTGTAGCTTGTTTTCAATAAGTATATAAACTGTCCAAAGAGGTTGTATTCTACAGTGTGCCTGAATGTAATCATTGCGTAGGTGTGTAGTGTGATTCTGTGTAGTTTATTTATGGCATCCCGTTGGGTTTGACGTCATCTGAACAGGACATCGCACGCTCACTGCTTGATAGCGCGAAGGTCCGTTTACGCCGGTTGTTAAGCAACATCGTTATGGGGAAATGCAAGTTTGCGTCCAAATGGTTGGAAGATAAGGAGGAAGGACAATCAATACTGTATATATTCAATGTGAGGTAAAGTGTGTCGCCAAGGTAACTGGTTAGAACTCAAAGTGGCGATGAGGTCTTAAAATGTATGGAAAGGGTCTTAAAAAAGGTCTTGAAGGTTTTACATCTGACTTCAGGATTCCTGCATAGAGAGGCGAAGTCCCTCCCCTTCCGGGGGACCTCCATGGGACCTTATTTTGAAAAATCATGTATTGAAGTCAATGGAGAGAGAAAGATTATCTTTTGATCATGTTTGAATTGTGCAACGGATTACACATATGATGTTTGTCAATTTAAAAGATAATTTTGCAAGTCAAAAAAATAAAAATGTGTCGTAACTCATTTGTTTGTGTGAAGCGCTCGATGAACTGCATCTCTGGTCTTGCACACGTCACCAAGATGGCCGTCACGTTGGCCCATTTCACCTCTTTCTTTCAGAATGAAGTGAAAAGTATTAAAAGAGGTGAAAATCACTACAAGTCTGGCCGTGTTGAGAGCTGTACATACACACAAGGGGAGTTAGGGCTTTACAAGGTTTCGGTGAGTAACACGAGTGTAATGTGTAACGTAAGCGACTCTGGGATTTGTAGTCTTTCTAGTTGCGTATTTTTCATAGTCTTATATTTCAACAGTTTTATGACAAACTGACTTTTTTGACATGGAAATTATTTTTTAAGATTGACAAACATCATGTGTAATTCATGGCACAATTCAAACGGGATCGAAAGATACGTTTTCTCTCTCCATTGACTTCAATACAAAAGGAAGTAGATGGGCGTGACTTCGCCACTCTATACCCTGTGGATGCATGTCTGAAAGCGAGCTAAAGAAATGAGAAGGTTAATGATCTCCTATAGACAGTTGTTGTTGTCAACTATGATAAACTCTAACTCTAAAATAATTTCTGCTCATTAAAAATGAAAGTGCAAGTCAGAGAAAATAGACATTTGTACAGCTTTTTGTACCAAAAGTAAAACTGAAGGGTCCCACAGACTTTGTTGTTCACACCAACACATCAACACGTTTTATTATTCTCATATATCTCTCTTCACTTTGCTGACTGGTAAAACCAAAACATCTTTAAACGTTTATAGGGGGGGGGGGGGAAATATTAACTTTGGGCCTTTTCACACCTTAAAAGTTCTGATTTGATCCGGTTGATTTGTTTTTGCAATGTGCGACTGCACTAAAGTACGATAAATGGCGTACCTTCATCCTGTTGTCAAACCTAAATGAGCTGCGTCTCGCTCTCATCTCTTTTGGGAAATTCATTTTAGTTTTCTGCAACTGCTAACCACCTATAGGAGACCTGAAGCTGAGAAACAAGAACCTGACTTTGGTCTTGTTGAGCTGCAGTTTTTATTCATGGCCAAACTAAGACTTACACTGTACATTTACTACATACTGATGACAATAATTGACTACTCCGAACTCCCAGAGGTCTGCTCTGAGCTACATCCGTCTCTCACTCGACCGCGCTGAGCCATTCCTCTGATCACATGTCGATGGCCTGCCAGAATTTCTAGTCATTGCTCTGGACGACCCATGATTTTACGCTTGAAAATACCTGTTTGATCAGGATTAAGTCGCCTCTTTTCGCCGGGGGTTTCACACCTGTAACTCTGGTGTGGGTCATACAGAACAGTCCGGACAAACAGGTAGGTGTGAAAGGAAGTCTGAAGGAAGGGGCAGATTTTCTTCGGCTGCGTACTTTCAAATTCTAGCACACTCGAGGAGGTTTCTCCATTCTTACCTACCCTACCTTTTTAAGGTAGTTTTATTTGTATCTGACACTGAATTGGTTTTTCATCCTTGACTTGTGCTTTTCTAACGGATGTGACTGCAATACCAGGATCAAAGAGATTATTACCAGTCTTAAACATTTTCAAGCATGCACTTCTGAAGTACAAACGTGTGTGGATGTGTTTTTATATGAATTAATATCAACATTTTCCACCGCTTATTTAAATCCTCACTTTAAAAATATTGAGTTGATTCTCAATCTCTCTTGACCTGTCTTATGGCGCGTTTCCACTGCAGCGGGTAGCCCCGTTTAAGCGTCCTTAACCGTCCTCAAGCGGCCAGGCCAGTTTTTGGTGGCGTTTCCATATAGCCTAGTACCGGCCAGCGGGTACTTTTTCCCTCTTTTTCCGGCCTCATAAAATCGTGGTTCCCTCAGACCAGGGCCAGGGCTGAACTAGTGACGTCAACACTCTCGACTGCTGATTGGTCAGAGAATCGTCACAAGATCGCGCGCGAGTTCATCCCTAGCGTCGCATATATATTTAGAAGCAAGCTTGCAGCATTTTTATAAACAGCATTTTGTAAACGGATGAGCTACAAAAATGGCTACGTCTAATAAGAAAAGCACACCGTGGTCGACCGAGGAGGTGACGACGTTCCTACATCTCATTGGGGATGATCAAATCCAGCGGGAGCTCGACGGAACAACTCGAAATGTGAACAAAAACAAAGCCGATCGCCCCGCCTACACTGCGTTGCTACCCCAGGTCCTAAACTGTAATGGAGATGCGCCACGGCCTGGGCCGGCCAGCGAGGCAGCCCGAGGCCAGAGCGAGGACGCTTAGGGACGCTTAGACGGGGCTACCCCGCTGCAGTGGAAACGCGCCATTAGTGGCTGAGAAGGTTTTTAGACGTGAAGCAAACGGAGACTCAAAGATGATATCAAATGCTGATCTTTCAGGGTCCTGTTATAACCTGTTTAACAAAGGTCTCCATCTCACAACCTGACTAATACATCTTGACAGAAGAGAGACCTTGGACCTTTCTGCACTTTTACGTGTTTCATTTCGGTCGTGTTTTGTTGTTGTTTGGAAATTGTCTTATCAGAGCAACATGTTAACTACTTTTTTTTTTTACCTTTTTGTTTTTCAGCCAAAACAGAGTAGAATACGAAAAAAGAGTTCGAGCACAAGCCAAAAAATTCTCACCCTCGTAAGGCAGAGACTTGGACCAAAGGAATGGGTTTAACAAGATCACCTCCCCGCTCAGTCTCAATGAATGTGCGCCTCTCACATCAGGACTTGCTTAAAGACTTCTATTTAAACTCCACACATTCTGTGCCATCCGAGCTTCATGTTTTAGTTTCTTAATTGCCAGTTGGCGCATATTGCTGGGAGGGGATGGGTGCTCGAGCGCCCTGGTCATTTCTTTTTAAACATTTATTGTCTTATGTGGTGCAAGGGACACAGCTCGGTACCAGTTTCATCAACTCCATGCAAGCTGCTGGCTCTCATCAATGTTCAAGGAAGAAAATGTATTTTTGTTTTATAATGCTCTTTCACAGGGTCTATTCCTTAATCATGTTCTCCCCCTTTATTTTCCATAAATGTAATTAAATTAGCTTGTTTCATTGTCAGTATTTCAACTGCTGTATAATGAATGGCACTTTTATACTGTTGTATCTCACTAGTGTCTCTAGATGGTTCTGTCTAATTCTCTTTCCCAGGTTTTCTATTCAGCATGCTGTAATATATGATAGAATCTGCTGCCTTGGCTGTCTTTTTGTTATTCAGAGTGTTTGCTATGGAATAAATAAAAATGGCCATGATGACTGAGGCAGGTAGGCTTACTTCTGTATCAGACTTAAGGTTATATGGTGCTTTGTTCATGTATGTGTTGGCGTAAATAAAACTTTCTACAAAAATTAAAGCATTTTCTTTATTAAATGAATAAAACAATCATGAATAATACATTCAAGGTTCAGAGACAAAGCAAAATGCAGTCATCAAAACAATGTCGAAATGGATTGATGGAAAAATGTCTGTTCAAACAATTTTAGTTTACAGATATTTACAGAATTAATTAAATTAATGCAAGCAAAATGTTATGCAATAACTTGTATCTCCTCTACATTATGCATACTGCTGTGGGGGGGGGGATACACAAATAAGTGTACACTAAAAAATGTATGCCTGTATATTATGTACTTCAAATATACAAAAATAAGAATGTACTGTTTTATTTTGAAGCACTTTACATGTGTAAATGTGTGTCGTTGAACTTTCAAAGTTCACGTCACAGTAACTACACAGAGCTCATGCTTCAGTCGCGGCCTCCTCTCTGATGATCCCTGTGGGGCAGGTGTGGGATTTTAAGCTCCCATGATCCTCTGCTGTGACGGGGCTTCCCTGCTGGAAGGCGCTCATGGTGCAGTACTCGTTGCAGTACCAGGGCGGGTCCCTCTCCAGCCAGCACCCCGAGTCTCCTTCAGCGGGGTACCTTGGTGGGAGGGTGCTCACAGCGTACGGGACCCCCAGCATCGAAGCATCGCAGCCGGGGTCCGATATGTTGCTGTAGATGCTTCCCTCCCTGAAGTGGTGGAAAACCTGGGGCTGACACTCTTCATTCTCTTCCACCACTTCACACTTTGTGAGCGTGTCGATTTGAAGCGTTTCCTCCGCCTTCAGCACGTCGGCCGTGTGTTCGTGTGTCACCACCCAGCTCTGTAATCACAGGCTTGTTTAGTGACATTCTTAGGAGGTAAATGTCAGTGTTTTACAAGCTACACTTACCTTGAAATCTCCCTGGTATTCATTGTACAGGGTGTGGAAGTAGGGTGCTGGAGTTGGGATGAAAGCCCCTTTTCTCCACCTGTAAGTGTGAGGAACATAGAGAAGATATTAGGCGTATATCGGTTGTAGGAAATGGCATTTCTTGTAGAAGGGTTTGGCCTTTGCTGAGGAGTCAAAACCCAGAGAGAGATCTTACTTTTTAACAGGAGCCCAGACGAAAATGAGGGTGAATAGCATCAGCACAAATAAGGAGATGAGCACCTTGCCCAGTCCCAAAAGAAATGTGTATGGTGGGGGATCTGTATGGAACAACATTTAGTAGAAGTAAACGGCTAAATATATGCAAATATGGATTTTATTTTTTTTTAAAGTAATGCATTACCAGAAGCTGCTTTCTCAACAAGTTGCATTTTAAGATTAACTGTCATTTCTTCATTAATCTAAAATCATCAGATTATCTTTTTTTAAATATTATTTTTAGGCCCACCATTCACAGCTGCCTCTGTCTTCCAGTACACTTCAGGAGACCAGTCGCTCCACTCTCCTTTGTAAAGCTGATCAGGACTGGTCCGCACTCTGGCCGCGTACTCGGTGTCTGGATCAAAATTTTGATCATCCACTGAACAATCCAGATTGGTGACGGGAAATGTTGACACCTGAAATGAACAGAGTAGTGTGTGAGTTAACTTTGGAAAGGAGAAACATGTCCTGTAGGCCCAGTTTGTGCTCACTAACAAATGTATTTCTTTACAGATAATATGACAGGATGATGCAGACAGATGGGTAAAACAATATACCAATTCTGTTTTAATGGTAATACAATGATACAGTTAGAATTGACAATATTTGAATTGCTTAGGACCATTTTACAATGTCATTCTAATTCTTTACAAATTGTTTGTCCATTTTTTATTCACCCTTATCAAGTTTGTCACTCTTATAATTTGACCAAACCCCAAAAGCCCACTTTTTTTAGTATCACTTGATCTAATTGTTATTTAAATACAATTTGATTATAAATACAAATTGAGTCCCTATTTGTAGAGGGGTCACAATCAATTAAAAGGCTTTAATATTGTGATAAACAGGCGTCATGTTCAGTGTGGCACAACAGTTGGCTTTAAAGGGACACATTCTCAAATGAAGAATCTAAATAAGTCAAATGTATTGATTTAAGGAAATTGGGGAATCGTTAAACAGCAAATCTATATATATATTTAAAAAAAAACATCAGTTTACAAACTCAAAAAGCTTGAGAGGTCAAATCTAAGTCTAATTTATCCTGTTTTTTACTCGTTACTTCCCAGACATGCATTTTAACATTTAAAACACTTATGAATAAAAGGTCTCACATTGAGTTTGTAAATTGATTTGTTTTTTATATAGTTTTGTTTTTAAACATGGCCAGATTCATCAAGAGTTTTCTTCGTCTGTTCTTCAAGGAATATGAAATAAAAGAGAAAGTATTTTTCAATATTTAAGCACCACACGCTCAATAACTATTTTCTGGGTGCATTAAATCCGAAGCCTGTTTTTCAGGTCTCGGGCTCGAAAATGACATTCCCAGAACAAATGACCATATTTTCCCTTCTAACAGGGTTAAATTAATAATCTTTTTTCTCAAAGCAAGGTTACACATGTGAGTTGGATGTAGAAGTAGACTAAAAGCTTTAGGAATCCAAACTACAACATATAAGTACCCTGTATCAAGATGAATGCAAAACAAGTTAAATTTGACCTTTGTAGAGAGATTTAGCACAAAAAAACACTTCTGGTGTCATTTGGGTGGATTTGACCTATCTCTGGCCCCCCTTGCTCGATTTTGCTGATTGACATCTCTTTCTAACCGTCAGAGCCAATGGAATCGAGGGGAACTCCCACATACTCCGTATTTGGTAATGTGTGTGTGTGAGACTGACGCATAGCCAAAACCGAAAGCTGTGATAACTCTCGTGGCTACCATTAGCAGCTAACTTTTACTCTCCGATTTTTACATTAAAATGGAATTATGGATTATAAATTTAAAAAAAGTATTCCACAGAAACATTATCAACCTATGGATTAACCGATGCAGCCGCGTTTTTTCTCGTTTTAATGCCATTGAACAAGTCTTTTGATCAGATTGACAGCTAAGGTGAGACGATCTCCCGTAAAAGCTACGTAAAGGTACTGTTGTGATGTCTGTGTTTGCTTCCGTTGTGGCGAGTTCGGATCGCTCAGTGATGATACTATATACCTAAATAATCTGTGGAACCTCAGATTTAATCGGATATCTTGTATGTGCAGCTACGATAAGTAATAAGGGTAGCCTATATTTTATCTTGAGTTCTGTGCCAAAGTGCGTTAGCATTTTTCGCTCAGGGGTCATTTAGATGCTTCTTATGAGACTTGTGTTTTGTTTTGGTAAAAATGGTTTGTATTGTCAGTTAGCTGAGATTATTCCCTTTAATCTGGTATAACACATTAATAGGTTCTTAAATATTAAGATGCCCTGAGACACAGTGTCGTGAAAAAAGCGGGGGCTTTAGGGCTTAACAGTTAATTTGGCGGTGCTCACTGGGAGGCTAGTAGAACAGAGCCGTTATTACGTTCTTAGCATGTCAAAATGAGCGTGGTAAAAAGATGGGTCAAATAAAGTCACAGTTTCACCCACAGGCCATCACCACACTGAGCTGTGTGGTCGCCTCTCACTGAAACAAATTCTCTTCACTGCTAGGAGCTGACATCACCAGTAGAAAGCAAGTGAAAGGAAAATGATTGTAAGATCTCTGAAATGCGTGAATTTACTCGCAGCAATTTAGGTCAAACTCCCTCGCACAGTGGCAAAGAGTTTAAAAAATAAGTTGTTTTTTTGCCATAGTTGCAAAATTATAAAAGGTCTGCACATCTTTCATTGCAGACTGAAAACCCACCTGTTTCCACTGCAGCTTGGACACAAAATATCTTTAAATGAATTTACATGATTCTTGCTGTTCAAATGTGTATGCTAATTGTTGATTGCATTTAAGTCCCTTATGATAAAAGCCTTGGCTACATTTAATTTAATGTAGCTTGATAAATAAAACCAAAAATATGTCCTATTTCATTATTTTTTATGTTTTGATAAACTCAGTATTTTTGTTCCAATTAAAGTTAGGGTAGGTAATTTTGGAGAAACCAGCTCGAGTGCGCTAGAATTTGAAAGTATGCAGCCGAAAGAAATCTTCCCCTTCCTTCAGACTTCCTTACAGAACCCCTCCTCCAACACACACTAACGTGACCAATGATGGCACGAGATAAATGTGTGCACAGATGGAAGGCTGACAGGCAGGTAGGCCATCCAGTTATTTTAGCCGGGCCGGCTCAGGTGCTTTTTACAGCGCCACGGCTTCCACAGATGACGTTTTTTAATGTATTTATTGTAAAAGCTTTTAATGCATTCATTGCTATCGGGATGTTAAGAGCATTCCATGGAATATAACAGAAAGTGTATCTGAAGTGAATTACCTACCCCACCTTTAAGTCTTTAAACTAATATTTGAATTTCTAATGTGTGCAGTTTTCTTTACTATCCTTTAATGCCTAATTGTCCATGTTTGAGATTTAATCCAACTATCTATTCTTCGTTGTCAAATATATTTTAACTGCCACTGAAATACTAGAGCTGTCTCCCAAAAAGCTTGTGTACTTCCATTATTACCACCAACAGGGTTATTTCTTCATCTTTGAATCTCACGTTTTGTGCGTTTCCTTTTCTGTAAAACTGAAGCTGAAACTTGAGACTGCCGACCAGATCGGTGGAATCAGCAAATTCCTCATAGGTGCTTTTCCAGGTGAAGTGGTGTTGACTTGCGTTGTGCCGGACTGTGAGGCAGCAGGGTGCGTTTGGTTTAACTGCATAGAGGACACATTAAAGACAAATGCAGGTTTTTTAATTCAGTAGATTACTTGAATATGAATCTAAATATGTTTTGTGTGTCTCGTTTGGAAAATAATCAAAAAAATGAGTGTTCCTTACTGTGGTCCAAAGGTTTGTATTCATCAACCAGCTCTTTACAGCTTTTAGACCCATCCGTTTGGTTGGAACAAAGTGAGATTTTATGAGCCTCCTGATCATTAAACCTTGGATCGCTTCTTTTAAAGGAGCAGAAGTAGCCCCCATCTGTATTTGTCAGCATACACACCCATTCCTTCCTGCACGAAGGAGTGAGGAAACACAATGTCATCATCACAATTAAGGTAATCTATTTTTAACAAGTGCCTGTAAAAAAAAACGACTTACTCCCTTTTCTGGAAAGTGAGCCAGTAGGAGACGTTGCTGTCTGACGGCGGCATGCTCAGGGAGCAGGTCACGGTGTACAGGTAATCTGTTACACAGTGAGGAACAGGGACCACACCTGAAAAATATTTAAACTATGTTTATTGGGAGTGTCAGGAGTAAGAAGTGTCACATTGTGAGGTCCTTTAAGTTAAGGAGTCCTTTTAGTTCCTTTAGAACCATAACTGATGCCTGAAATACATTTCAAACGTATTAAAACAAATAAAACATATTATTTACTCACACATTTAAGGCTGCTGACTTGAATGATTGTCCACCAACTCTTCCGTTAAAATCTAATGACCAGTGTGAACAGGGGAAATTACAGCGACTAATATTTCCATTTTGGCATGAGTATGGTTTAAGGATTGGAAGGAATTAAATGAAAACGTGAATAAATCTTCATTCATTCATTTAGCTTCTACAACCACATGGACTGTATATTTATGTATTCAAAAACCTAACAAGATAAAGTATTTCCTTTGATAATAGGAAAGCTTAGCAAACTTTTCAAAGAGGTTAAAGGGTCATATAGAGTACACCATAGCCTAAGGTCCTTTTCAGAATCAACAAATATTTTATTTTATGATTGATGATAGATAGATTTTATGATAGATTTTTAAATCCCCCACATTATGCCATGTCGGCATGAATGTCACAGCTTTTATTACATTGTTTTAAAATTATTTTTTATTGTTTTTGTTGTTTTGTTTCACCCTTTTTAATTTTGTAGCACTTTGAGTTTTGTTTACGCAAATGAAAAGTGCGCTTATAAATTAAATATATTATTATTATGATCTGATTATGTTGTATATTATGTATTTTCTAAGCAAATGACCCTTACATTTAATGGGTTAGGGTAAGCAACTTGATCGTGATGATATTCTAACATATTTTTTATAATTAAAGAAGATAATAGCAAAGACATTACCTGTAGTATTAGATCCGGGCAGACAGACAATGTTGGTGGATACGAGCAGAAACACTATCAGCAGCTTCATCCTCAGCGGAGAGCGACCATCCATCACATCGAGGGGTATTTTTTAAGTCATGCCCTCCTGAAGCGCTGTGTTAAACAGTTTTTAATGAAGACTGAGAGGCATCACTCTGATAGCTATCACTCACATGCTCTGGTGGGAGAGGATGTGCTCTTTTAAGAGCGCAAAGTGTGTGAAAGGGGGGAGGCTACAGTTTAACCAATCAGAATGTTTTTACGTCACTACTTTAATCTATCATCCTGTGCACTAAGTTTATTATCCCAGGTATTTTCTTTTAGTTTGGTTAAACAGTTGTATTTTTCTCCATTATTAGACCTATTTCTGTTAGTTATTAGTCTGAAGTTCTTTTAGCTTTTATTCTTTTAGTGTCCTGCAGATTTCTTCACTTAAGGTCATTTACTGATTAGGCACAAAGCTGCAAGATCATAGCATACCAGAATTGAAGGGAGATTAATTTTGACAAAGAAACTAAACAAATGCAGTTGTTAAATTGAACTTGACTTAAATCAACTATCCTTCTTTGTACATTCAAATGTCAAAAGAAGGATAGCACAAATTAAGAGTATATCTTAATTGATCCATGCGCTCTTTATGCACTGGACTTAATGACAAAGTGACTTCATGTATTTTAGCTTAACAAACTCAGCTGTTGCACAGAGCTGTCTATGGATCATTGTGAGGCTGCTTTTAATAATCAGGCACTCAAATGCCCAGACTCACTTCATGCTGGTGTGCTCTATTAGTGCCTTCACTTATTTGACGTCATCTCATTTGTCAAAACATGTCTAATAAGGCATGGTTATTGTCTTTGTCAAGTGTAGCAACCTGCAATTTGAAAACATGAATTATTGTGCAACTTACTGGAGTGTTATGCAATGAGTAGAGCAGCGAGGGGAGATCAGCATGAAGATGATTCTGTGTGTGTTTGGATGATTCTTATAAAAGATACCGGTTACTTCCTCTGATGTTCACAATGTTGTTGCTTTGGAGTTTAAAAACCTGTGGCAGTTAAAGCTTTTTCAGTCTTTTCAGACTTTGTGGCCCAAGGGTGCAACATATTGTCAGCATGTCAACTAGATGACTTGTTGCAAAGGTTCAAAGTTTAAAAGACAAAACTCTCAGGGCTTCTTCTTTATTTATACGTTTATAGAAAGAGCATTTAAGCAGGAAACCGTAAACAGCATGCAGACAGTCATGTCACTGTGATAACACACTTTTAATTTGGGTTTTTGCAATCCAAAATATCTGTCTTCGTCTGATCTCTTTACTACACCACAGAGCATAGAGGCAGGCCTATTTTTATTTGTGGAAACTTAAATGACTCTGCGTGTGAAGCAGTGTGAACAGTTTCTGAAACACGATCATCATGAAGTTATTATGAGAGGGAATATGTTCATGTCTTTATATTGCGCAAGAGCAAAAACCCTGATTAGTTAGCTTTATCTGAAACTTGTTGCTTTACCGCTGCGTCTGATATGAGCGTTTTTGGTCATTTGATAAGAGTTTCCTTCATTTTGATAAAGACTAAATATGACACATCACATAACAGTCAGATGTTAGCGTTGGTTAGAAAAACACGTCTAATCTGACAAAATATCGGTAGAAGGCTTTTGAAAACATCCTTTAATCATGTTAAACTCAGTAGACACTTCCTGATTAAAATAAATAAAAAAACATTCATGGACATTAAAACCTTGTAATACCGTCATTTCATATTTTGTAGTCTTTACTGTCGTCCTCAATATTTTAAGTCCTTTACATAGCTGGCAAATATAAAAAGAAAGACAAGTCAATTACATAAAATGACTTACATAATTGTGTTGTATTACACTTCCATATAACATCTGCTGTAAAATAATACTGGACCTATAAAACAAGTCTCTGAAGTCTAAGTCTGTGGCAAGCTTTTCATATTTAGTGTTTACATGATGTTACAAAGCACCAGGAAACTAAACAATAAAAATGACACTGTGCAAACTGATGGGTGTCCTTGTAATTTAAACTGTAAGTTTCTTTCAACAGTAGGGATATAGTTAAGCACTTGAGGTACGACAGCGTGGCTCACTCACAGGCCAGTTTGCCATCGAAAGAAGACAGCGTGATGGCGAAGGCCTGCAGGGCACACATGGGGAAGCTGTAATCCATGGAGAAGACGTCCTCTGCTACCCGGCCAAACTGCATCACTATGTAATCCTCTGGAGAAAACAGCAGCAGGGGGGCAAGGAGAGATCACCATGAAGTTAAGAATAAATACAAGACATTGGTTGAGGATAAAGTGCCGGTTCTAGACCAATTTTACTAGAGGGGCCAGGCTGGGGCCAGTTATTTCATGAGAGGGGCACAATAAAAGCGGGTTAAAAAGACAAAGACAGTATAAAGTAATTGTGTAAAATAAACATAAAATACAGTAATTGGTATTTGTTTTTGTAAAGGTATTTGTTTTTGTACATTTAAGTTACAGGCCTTTGTTTCAGTAGTTTTTTTTTATTTAGAGTATTTGTTTTAGTAACTTTAAGTGACAATTTAATTCAAACACAAACGGTATTTGCTTTTATAAGGTAATGAACAGTTAGCTACCAGTGTACATCCGGGTCTCTGATTCAATTTAGTTCCAATAAATCGTAACATTGTAACTTTTTTTTTTTTGGAGGGTGGTCCCTGGTCAGTGTTATGGGGGCATTGGCCCCTGTTGGCCACCCCCCTAGAACCGCCCCTGATAAAAGGAGAAATCTTACCGTTTTCAGGGTGGACGATCTGGAAGTTTTTGACCGAGGCCTGGGTGACACGACCGTGGAAGTTAAGCACAAACGACTGAGACTGTTCGTTCCAGCTCGGGCATTTGTTCTCCAGCGTGACCAGATTGTCAGTGTTGCTGTGTGCATGGCGGGCCAGAAGAGTATCAAGATCCTATAATAATAACACAACAGTTCAGCTCCTTGTTCTTACTTCATAGGTTTTTTTTAATGTTCTTTTACTTTTTAAACTTACATTCTTTGGGCGAATGGACACTCTTTCGTCATTCTCCAACATCCCGGGGATGATCACTGTCATTTTCCTGGGACCCTTAAATCCCAGCACGTTCGTCTCCTGGAACGTGAAAGATGATCGTATTATAGGTTTTATCTATTCATATGTTTTGTTAAAGTGGGTTGTATTTTAGGTAATTTTAGACTCACATAGCAGATTGCTGCCAGCTCTTGCCTCACTGATTCACACTCTTTGACAAACGGCTTTTTCTCCGGGTTTTCACCTCCATCATAGACTGTGAACCTTGTACCCAGAATATTTGACCTGTAACAAATGAGAAAAGTAATTTGAGTAATCTAAAATCATCTAAAAGATGAGAAGTGAAAGCATCCTGAAATGTTATTTATTTTAGCAAAGGAACTACAAAGTTTTTGATTCCTGCAATTTGATTTGATTCTGTCAGTATGCCACTAATCAAGGAAGAGTTCCCAAAATGTAAGGGAAAATGGAAAATGGTCCAATTTACACACGCGATGCAATTAATATAGAAAACCATTACGGGCCTTTTTCATGGCTGACATTTTGACAGGAAAATCACCAGCTTTGGGCTTGGGGGAAGGTATGAATTATGTGACCAAAAGGGGTTTTGAAAGGGTTTACAGGAATACAAGATATTGCAGAACTTACTAATAAGTTACTCAGGAAATCAAAACAAAAGGGATTTGATTGAGAGATGTACCTTAGTTTCCCTATGTAGCAGTTTGTGTCTCTGGTAAGATTAACTGGGTCCGTGGTGATGAGATAGTTGGATGTTTTGCTCTTCTTCCTTTTTCTGCCTGCCATTAGAAACACCTGAAAAACAGAATGATTGTAGAGAAGATAATTAACCTTCATAGCAACATGACAGAACATAAAACAGGATCATTTGAACTGAAATCAATGTGCACAAAGTTTGGGTTCAAGTTGAGTAGAAGGACCAACCCTGTTGCCATCCTCCTTCTCCATGTGGAGGTAGTACGTGGGGTACATTCCCTTCTCCATGCCTCTCCTGTCCCTGGTGACCCTGCACTGGATGGTGACATCCCTGGAGGCCGGACGCAACGCAAACTTCTCCAGATCCTCCACTGAAATTGGAGACGATGACTGAAATGACAATAAGTGATGTTGATGATGTTACTTTCATGCTTTTTGTGACTAATAAGTGTGTCATCTTTAGACGACACACTAAACCGTTTCATTTGTAATGTCTCACTCTGTCATTGGATTCACTGTTTGACGATGAACCCTTTCTGTAGTTGGAGTTAAGGGAACCGAGACCTGGCGCGGTCTTCTCTGCTTTCTTTTTCTTCTTCTCCCTTTTCTCCTTCTGGATTTCCTCGTCTTTGCTCTCGTCACTTATTTGGCACCTGGCTGTAGAGATGCCACATTCATTACAAAAAAGGTATGGTATTGTTGATCATAAGATGCAACAAGGCCAGATTGTCG